AATTTTTTTGGTCTAATTATGGAAATACCTTGATTTTTATAAAAAAAAAAAAACAAAACCCACTAATATCGGAGTTGTCGTTGTCGACACACAGACCACCGTTGCACTAGAGGCCTGATCTTTGTCGTCCGCCGTTGGACATCTAGTGTTGATGTGTGGTCAACAATGGGTCAACTTAAGAAATGGACCAAGGGATGATTTGATCCATTGATTACTTTAGTGCCAAAAAAAAAGTTACCGCTGAACAACTAAAACACCTTCAATTATATATATTGTAACTTGTTTTCAAGCATTTATATGATTTGTTGTTCATCATGAATATATTATTATTCGTATTCAAATAATCACTTATATATATGCAAATATTTCATGCGTAAAAAAATTATCAACTTTTTAAACATAACTTTTTTCAATTTTTTTAACAACTTGTTGTTTTAAAATTGACATTTTATCAATATCATAGTAAATAATATATATATATATATATTATAAATTTATTTTTTAAGTATTTTCATCAACCTTGGTTATTTATGGACGTATTATTTTTCATATCCAATGATTACTCGTAAATATACAAACATGATACATGAAAAAATTGTCAATTTTTTAAACCTAATCTCTTTCAATTTTTTTAACAACTTGTTGTTTCAAAATTAACATTTTATCAATATTTCAATAAATAATATATATATATATATATTATAAATTTATTTTTTAAATATTTTCATCAGCTTTGATTATTTATAGATGTATTGTTGTTTATATATGAATAATTACTTATACATATACGAACATACCTTATTCATATATAAAGAAATTGTCAATTTTTTAAACCTTACTACTTTTTTAAATTTTTTAACATCCTGTTGTTTCAAAATTAACATTTTATCAATATTATATTGAATAATAATATGTTATATGTTTATTTTTTAAGTATTTTCATCAAATTTAATTATTCATGGACGTACTGTTGTTTAGATTCGAACATCCATTTATACACATACAAACATGACTTGCTCAATTTTTTTAACAACTCGTTGTGTCAAAATTAACATTTTGTCAATATTATACCAATATATATATATATATATATTATAAATTTAGTTTTTAAATATTTTCATTGACTTTAGTTATTCAAGGACTCATTATTGTTCATGTCCATATAATTGCTTGTACATATATGAACATGATTTGATCATACATAAAAAAAGTTATGTTCATATATATATATACACACACACATATTGTATGAATGAACAAGTCATGTTTTTATATGTACAAGCAATTGTTCAGATATAAACAATAATGTGTTCACGAATAGTCGATAAAAATGCTTGAAAAATAAATTTATAATATATTTTTTATTTAGTGTAATATTGATAAAATATCAATATTGAAACAATAAGTTGTTAAAAAAAATTTGAAAAAGTTAAGTATACATGAACAAGTTATATTCACACATGTATAAGTGATTGTTCATATGTGAACAATAATATATCCATGATAAATAACAAATCATATAAATGTTTAAAAACAAGTTATAATATATATATGTGTGTGTGTTATATATTTTACTATATATAATTAAAAGTGTCTCGTGTATAGCAGCTCTGTGGCAACTCTCCTTTTTGACACCCAAGGGATCAGGAATCAAATTATTCCTTAGCCCCTTTCTTGAGTTAACGACTATTGTCAGCCTTAAAGGTCCAGCCTCCAACATAGCTATGATCTATCCGTTAATGACAATGGATTTTTTTAAATAACAATTATGGATGTTTTCTTAATTGGACCCAAAAAATTAATTAAGGTTTTTGGGTCTGCAAAAGATTTTCAGTATGTTTTAGATTTTGTATGCTATTAATTTCATTCCAAGGGCTCCGATTGAGATTCTTCCAATAAAATTTTCAGTCCCACGTACACTATCGCCATCCACGTCAAATAATATATGTGGGATTAAAGCTGATCCTGAACATTTTAAAATGAAAAAGATACTTTTGCAATAAAATAAGAAAGACAAGGACATGCACTCAAATAATAATAAAAATGTATAAACTTAAAGCCGCAATCAAATTCTTCATTCTCGAGCTCCAATACAATTCTCACCTGCGAACAAAATGATTAAAAAAATTAAGGAAAAAAAAAACGCTGTGATTACAGAATTTTCCCCTTCGATATATTGCCAAGTTTCCAAACGAATCAATTACCATAATAATTCGAAGTGAAAAGCTATGATATACAGATACTCATGTATATCAAATATGATACGTTGATACTTTTATTTGAAAAAATATTAAAAAATATAATTTCAATTCAAAAATATCCAAATTGACATACATACATGCATTTATATTTATAGTTATTTATAGTAATACCAAAAAATATATAATCATTAATCATACTTTTATTCTATTTATACCTAATTATTTACTACCTTATCTCTACTAGTAGATATAGTATTAGCATCTCCTCCTCTTTGACTATCATCTGAAAAGAACGATAGCTTTTGTATCTGGTTCCGCTTTCAATTTGCTTAGGATTTATAACTTTATATATCGTAAGATTACGTTACCATATTTTTATAATAAGAATAATGTAACCTTTATTATTTTATTACCTCTAAAGCTTAATTTTTTGAGAAAAATTTAATGTTTGACTTTAAAAGCAAATAAAAAAATAAGTAATAAAAAGTTTAGTATTGCAATCTTTAATAAAATTTAATTTTTTAAATTTTTTTTGAAGCATTGGCTTTAAAGTATCTATCTAGAAGTATTATATGCATGTCAAAAATTAAATTATTTTAAAAAATATTTTAATATTTTATGGATATGTATCAAAAAAATATCCACAAGTATCGGTACATGATACGGATGTGGAGACGTGACATAATTTGAAATATCAATGATTGTTAGTGTTGTTGAAATCGGATGGTTCGATCGTCACCTACTGAACAAAATGGTTTAGTTCAACTAGTTGAACCAATCTGACATTTGAATTGAGTTGACCCAGATTGACTCAACCGATTTTGAAAGAACTGGCTTGGACCTAGAAATTGGAGTCAGTTCAACTTGAGTCAACCCGATTCAAAAACAAAAAAATTTAGGCTCAGTCGCTTGGATTCACAGCTTCTCTTTTCTAATCACTAATTTTCTCTTTTTTTTTCTCTTCTTTAATCTCTAATTTATGCTCTATGGCCCAAGCTCAATCTTTAACTTTTCCTCCAACTCCTACCTCCAACTTTAGCAATCCAACCTTTAGCATCGAGATCAAAAGCTTATGAATCATGACATGACGGTGTGCCTCCAACTTTAGTGTTTTCCTTTGAGATCACGAACTTATATTGACATGCCTTTGCCTCTAAGTCTAACGGTCCAAGTATCTAGCTTTTGGAGTTGAGAATCTAAGCATCATCGACAAATTAATGTTTTATAATATATTTGTACATATAAATATTTTTTATTTAATTTTTATATCATCGGTTCGACCGTCGGTCTAATCGGTTAAACCATAAAAATTGTGACCCGTTGCTCTTTCTGATTCGATGTTTGGTTCGGGTTTCAAAGCAGTGGTGATCATAGGTGAAAAAAAAATTTCAAATAAACAATCACCACCTAGAGCAACCTTTTTTTTTTAAATGATTTCTGGTTATGATTTTTGCCAATTTTAAGAGTTTAAAATCATTTTTATATTTCCTTTTAAAAATATGAAGGAAGAGTTAATACCTCAATCCTTATAGTTTCTTCTAACTTTGAATTAGGTCTCTAAGTTTTTTTTTTTCCTTTTTTATTTGGTTCTTTAAGTTTTTCCCGTTGTCCGTTAATCCTTTATATTTAAAACTGTTAAAAAAGGACTACCAGTATTAACAAAACCGTCAATCATTGATGAGATGGCATTAGATTAGTAAAACTTGGCCAGGTGAATTTGATTAGAAACACACATGGAAAATTAAAAGACAAATTGACGGACAGTACGCCCTCTCCTTTTGTTCTAGGATTTTGTCGGGAAGAATTAAGAGAGAAAAAGACAAGCTATTTAGGACAAGTTAATTAGGGAGCAACATGTATCTTCCTACGAAATTTTGTACGAAGAATTTGACATGACCGAGGTTTTAATAAAACAAAAAAAAAAGGGGGGTTCAAATGAGAAAATCAATAAAATTCATTAATCGAAGAGGTTGATTCTTTAATACCCTTCAGTTCGGATTATCTTCCAACACTCTTCAATCGAAGAACTAAGCTCAACCTTCTCGTTTCTCTTACCTCGTCACTTTGCTCACAAAGAGAAGCTGTGCTTATTTGATCTTCACCGTCCTCAAGTTTCTCTACGTTCATGATAGCGATCTTCCTTTCTCGGAATTCACGACAATGATCTCTTCTCCCTCCCTTCTCACTTTTTGCGTTCAGGTTCCCCTTCTCCACTTGCTTGACTTTAGCAAAATAATTTCTTTTTAGAGGTGGCATTAATTTCCTACGTGCATCCTAATCAGATTCATCTTAGCAGGTTTTACCAACTATGTGCCATCTAGTGATTAACAATTTTCTTAACACGTTAGTCTTTTTTTAACGATTTTAAACATAAAAGACTATCAATTCTAACAAAACAAAAAAAAAACTTAAAGGACGCAATAAAAAAAAATAAAAATTTAGGACCTTGATTCAAAATTAGAAAAAACTATAAATATTGGGGTATTAATTTTTTCAAAATAAAATATCACTATCAAATCATTTCCGTGAGCTATGAAACCAACCTTTGTTAATTATTCACCAAATCCATGTTTCTTATCTTTTAGTTGCACCAAAAAAATTTAAAAATCACATCATATTCTGACTGATTTAAATTGAGCAAGTTGAATTACATGGATGTGAAAAGAGTAGAGAAAGAGTAAACGATTCGTTTTGAGGATATTCTGTTGGTGAAAATACCTACACGGGCTAGTAGTGCATGGGCCTTGGGCCCGCTTAATCACCCGCACAATCTAACAACAGGCGAAAGAGTTGCTCAAGAACAGAAAACACGCGGGGGAGCGGGGGCGAGAGTGAGAGGGCAAGGGGGTTCACTCAGGAAGAATGGCTACAGAGGAAGAGAGCGCGGTAAAGGAGCCATTGGATCTCATCAGGCTCAGCCTGGACGAGCGTATCTACGTCAAGCTTCGTTCTGACAGAGAGCTTCGCGGCAAGCTTCATGTACTCCTGCTTTTCCCTGTCGCTTTCTCTTTCGGAGAACCATTTCTTCTTTTGTTTAAGTTTCCTATGTTCTTGCACTTGATTCTCTGCCTAGCGTCGGCGGTGTTGAGCTTTTTCTGTCTTTACTGGACTCCTCCCTAACGATTAGGGTTGTTATTGCCTTTTAAGCGTTCAATTGTAGGACTCCTTTTTTTTTTTTTTTCCCTTTACGGAACTTAATTTTTAAGTTTCGATTGATGACAATGAAAATATGAGTTACTTGCGGTTTTTATTTTTTATTTTCCTCTCCCGTTTTGTCTGTAAGAAATATTAAATAAATATATATAGGTTATGAATAAGTTCCTTATAATTTGGAATGCAGAAGTTGGGATGATAGATGCTGAATATATTGCATGAAAATTGTTCAAACGACAGAGTTGTACTGCGAAGTAAATTGTATGTTATGTCTTGATCTTTGAATTTTTAAAGTCCTAATTCTTCTGCCCATCGACGTTTACGATTTGCTATTGCACTGGAAATTTGTAATTCTAACGACTAATCTAGTCACCTTGATCAAACGCTGAATGTCTGGTCTTTGTATTTATGCTCTTTATTTGGTCTGAACATGCTGTGTGTAAATCCTAAGTAGAATTGAATTCGGTTATGCCTGCTTGGTAATGAAATAGTGTTATGCCACCATTAGTTTTGATCAATTTCAGACTTTGTACATTGGTAACACTTGTATTTCTTTTGCAATCATGAGTTTACTTGCCATATAGCCAATAATTGTCCCTGACACCAGGGTTGACAGAGTCGTATATTTAATAACCAATTTCCTGTCAAAGTTGAGTTGTAGATTAGTTTTATATTAAGAATGCTTGTGTAAAGAAAATGTCTGTTGCTTGCATCTTAGATCCTAGTCGTAATTGTTTTTAGAATGTGTCTGAATGAACGAGATATGTTACTTGTATTTCATCCATTTTTTTTACTGTTTATTTTGGCCTAATATCATTGGCATCATCCATCTGGATGATTCTATTTCTTGGGCTTGACACCCTGTTTTATTTTTATATGTATCCAATGCACAGGCTTATGATCAGCATCTAAATATGATTCTCGGTGATGTCGAAGAAGTTGTTACTACTGTTGAAATTGATGATGAGACATATGAAGAGATTGTCAGGGTAAGCCTTGATCTGTATTCCCTTCCTCTTCCCTAAAAGAATGCGTATTATTTGGTTTTAAAAGCCAAAAGGAAGAACAAAAAAAATGCGGGGAGGATTTAACTATGGTAATTGAAATTCTGTTTTCAAACTTATGTTGTTTAAATAATGAGCTCTGCCAGTGGCATGGATATGCATGATTACGTATAATTAAGTAGTTCTCGTGTTTTACTTATTGATTAAGGGGTGAGTTTTCCCAGTTATCATTTGACATTTAGAGATATAAGGCATATTGTGAGGAATTTGGTTTGAACCAAGTTTGGTTGTGAGTAAAGAAAGCTGTTGATGAAGGCCTGGCTCATGTGGTTTCAGTGTATGAGCTTTATGCCTCTGTAAGTGGTGCATGTCATTTGGAATTAGCAATGCCACGGCCTTATTCTGCTGCTAGCCACTCCACACTCTAGCTTGCTACCAATGCTGTTGTCTGAGAAATTATGACGTAGGCCAAATTTATGTCCCCCAAGCCAATGGGAAATAGACTTGTAGACTTGTTTGAGGGGTTTCACACGATAGTGATGCCTATTGGCTTGGTGTAACCAGGTAGACTTTAGAATTTCTCAAGTTTCAACAAAACGGTAGTTTGCTCTGGCTAGGAAGCAGCATCATTGGGGAATTCGTGTTTAAGGTCTTATTCATAGTGGGGGGATTTCACATCATCCCCAATCTTCATCAAGCATTACCTGCACTTATTTAACATGGCAACTGAAAGTGAATGTGTCATAAATTTACGCTGTTGGTACTTTTCTTGTGATTTTTGTTTTCTTCCAATTGCAGACGACCAAGCGAACGGTTCCTTTCCTGTTTGTTAGGGGAGATGGGGTGATATTGGTTTCCCCACCACTGAGGACTGCATGATGGGGGACTGATGAGCTTTAATCATTCTAAGCATTTGACACTGCTATGTAACTTGTTAAACAAGCCTTGCTGCTTATAATGAGATTAGTTGCGGTACTGGTTTGTTACTGATTTCTATTAAACATGAGAATCATGAAATATACATGAACAAGCTTCTTTGGCGACGTGTAGAGCTGGCTTCCCTTGCGATTGACTCTCAAGATTCCTAACGCGGTACCATTTCTTTATGGCTTGTAACATGTTGCGAAGACTATCTTGCGTGAGTTGACGATGGATATGGGAGAACTGATGGTCATTAAGCTTTAAGCGTAGTGGCAACCATGTATGGTCATGATTTTTTTTTATTCATGATTTTTTTCAGGTTTTATGAGCAGTGAATGAACGCTGTATGTAGTGGCATTTCACGAAGTACCGGCATATGTTTTAAAGAAAACCACATTTGCATCCGCAAATTATATACACAAAAACTTATCAGACAGGTTCAATTTAATGCAACGTATCCACAAATCACATTTGGTTCTTGCATGTTAATGCAAACAGGTCTATATATCCAGTCAGGGTAAGCCATCCATTCTGTTCTGTTTACATATAAGTTATTGTAACTTTGTTGCTGAATATTTAATTAACTTTTCGTTAACCAATGCTTGCCTTCCTTATCATACATTACCTTTTGACTAGGTACTACACATTGCAGTTATAATTTTTTGAACTATATTTCATTACTTGAATCTGTATCTTATTGAATTTGCTTAACCGTGGGATTGAAGCTAGTTTAGTCAATAACATGATACATGTCTGAATATTATGCATAAGTTATCAAAAACCAACTAAACAATCAAAAATTTACGACAAGCAAAATGATTTGCATTGAGAATTTGATACTTCCAAAGTGTGGCCTTGATTTGGTATACAACCCTTGAAAAGGAATGGGATTATCCTTCTCCCCGTTACATAAGAAACTTACACCAAGATTTACACGATCAGACCAGATATAATATTCTAACAGGGAAAGTAGATGCAACTTGTGGAAGACAGTCGGATGCTTTCCTGGGTTCACACTACTATTTACCCTCAGCCTCAGCAGCATAAAGTGCTTTGATTTCCTCAACATCATCAGAGCTACCAAGGAATATGGGAGACCGCTCATGCAACTTCTTTGGTACCAAGTCAAGTGCCTGTCGCCAGTTACATCAGTTAACCACAAGTATACAGCTATAGTGATTTTAATTTGTTGAGAATATCAGTAGAGCGGATAAGAATAGCTTGCTGATACAAAACTATTGTAGCAAAATTACTCCTGCTAGGATACCCAAAAAAAGAAGCTGCTCTTGCGGGTATAAAAGACTTGCAGACAAATGTATTCTTCAACTTACGTAAAGGGCATTGCAAGGGGACATGAGGTGGCGGCGGTTGATAGCTCAAAACCAAAAAAATCTCAATTTGATTAACCCAGTCATGAAGAAACATAGAGGCACATCAAATGTACTTCTTGTTCATATTTCTCTAGTAAATAGTGTTTAATGCATTATTAACAGCATCACATTTACAAATCAATAGGAGTCATCAATGAAAATAAAGCCGCAATGATTGTTGTGGCCAGCACCAACACGTATGCTTCCATAGTGCACACAAGAAAGTTCCCACCGCATGAAAATTGTATTTTACAATAAAGCTCTCAGTTATTCTTAAGTGTGGTTCGTGAGTAAGGTGTTAGAAATTGATTACTAAGAAAAAATGTATGTTCTATAAATTAGACCTATGAAAAGCCTCTTCTGCAAGACTAGAGAGGAAACAAGGTAGTAAATTACCCGCATCTTGCCGGTGATAGCCTGGCCTCCTGCTTGTTCCATCAAGAATGACATTGGGAAGACTTCATAGAGAACGCTACACCAAACAAGTTAAATAAAAAAGTCATCCATCTCCATGAGTTCAGAGTTCACACATCACAAAAAATTACGTCTAACTTAAATACAACGCACCGGAGTTTCCCGTTTGGACTCTTTTTATCAGCAGGGTACAAAAAGATCCCTCCATAAAGCAATGTACGATGAACATCAGCTACCATGCTGGCAATTTTCATAAAATACACGCAGCCAAAAAGGTCACAATTTAAAAACCTGCTAAAATATGGAACGCAGCAATAAACTGTTCACACTGAATGGCGATAGCTTTCTTCGTCATGGATAAAAAGTTATCTGGGAAAAATATCATTGGTATACACTAGCTGTCGTTATTTCATTGAAAAAAGCAAGGTACATAAAACCGGACTGGTCATTAAACCGGTCATGACACTGGGTCACGAGTTAGTGGTTCAATCTGGGTTGAACCGGTGGCAAACCGGTCATGATTAAAACAATACAATTTAAATAAAAAGACATTAATTATAAAAACATTCAACCAAATCCAACCACTCAAAAGTCTAACAATAATAAAATACTATATTTTTGAACTTAGCATGCTCTGTCTCTAATTTTTCATTTTTTGACTTCAATTCCACTTTTTTTATCTTATTTCCGAATTCAGAGCTCTGAAAAATTAAAAATGAAAAAAAAATCAAAAATGACGTCGTTTTGGGGGTAAAAGTCTGAAAAAATAATAACCCAGTTAACCTAGTCAACCCACCGGGTTATATCGGGTTGAACCCAGGTTGAGCAGGTTACACCGATTCACTCCCTCACCGGGTTAAGAGTAAACCCAGACCGGACAGGGGACCGGGTCACCGGTCCGGTCCGTTTTTCAATACCATGGAAAAAAGTATGTCCTTGACCGCACAGTAACATTATGTTGCTGCCTGGATTTTAGTCAGAAAAATAATGCAACAAATTAGTTGTATGGAAGGAAAGATACAGTTCTCTGAGAGTCGGAGGACACAACTAAATTCTCTAATAACTAACGCCTGGCGTGCATATGACTTGTAAACCAGAGGTGAGAAGTAAAGCAGGGGTCGAGAACGTGCATTACCTCCCAATATATCTTAGAGACTTTGGAGACGAACCGTCTTTTGGAAACTTGCATTTCTCCACGTACCTGGAAAGAGGAAAGGAAACAAAAGATTATAGGAAGTCACACCATGGTGCCTGCAAATATACAAGATTTTCATACTTACTTGGCAGTAGGACCATCCCAGTTTTTAGCATTTCCCTCATTCACTGAATAGATCTTGCCTTTTTTTGGGATCTGCAGGGAGATCACATGAAACAAATGATACGATCTTTAAATATGCCAAAAATCCGTATATCTGCCTATGCTGTATCCGAGACTGATAAATAAGTTCTCCTTCAAAGCTAAGCAAATATTACTTTAGAGAAGAGAGAAATGCCTTGGTCATGAAAAGTCGAGGTTATTTGAGAATATTTTTTGATTATACGATCTCGAATGATTCTTAGTTTCATGGAATTAACTTGGAAACCCTTTTAGCGAAAAGATTATTCAAGTATTCCAAGATAGAGAACATTCCTGGAAAAAACCTGTTAAAAAAAAAATAAAATTAAACAATTAGTTCAGAGAAAGTATGTGGCTGAGATGTCATCTGACGAGGGTGAAAATAAATTGAATCAGATTTCAGTTTAAACAATGTGAAGTTTAGGAAATCATTGCTTTGATAAGAGCTGAGCAGAAATACAAGTATTGGGAGGAGGGGTACTTCGATGTTAATGAAGAGGGATCCATGAGTAGGCAGAGATGTAAGGAATACCTTAATGTCAGGGTGAGTAAGAATGAACTCCCCAAGAGATGGATCAAGGGTGAATCCATTAACACCAGTTCCAGTGCTTAACACAAGCTGCAAAGTTATTAGACCGAATGATAATGTAACAATGGGGGCGTTTAAATTCTAGAACGCAAGCAGAAATAAATCATAACTTCTCAATGCATAGATGTGCACACAAAATAAATAAATCAAGGAAAATGCAAAAGAAACTCAGACAGCTGATCATACGAAAAGAACATGAAAAAAAAAAAAAACTGTTATTTATTAACATTATTAGTTATATTGATCAGAAATCGGGACAGACCGTGTAAAAGAGAATTTAAAAGAAGAGAAAAAGAAAGAAATAGGCGCACCAAACAGAAACAAGGTATTTAAGAAAAGGAAAAAAGAAATATAACGATTTATTATACCGTGCAAGAGCTCCCGTACATGCAGTAACCAGCTGCCAACATGTTCTTCCCTGGTTGCATGACATCTTCTATGGTGGGTTCGTGATCATCTTTCACCATATAGATCCCAAAAATCTAGATGAAAAACAACATATTCAATTGAATACCGCAATTTGCAGTTATTCTGGTATAGTAATTCCTCTGTAGTCTATGCTAAAGTCAGGAGGAAGAGGACTTTAATAAGAATGCAAAAATGGAGGTGGGACAATACTGTGCCGATGGAAACACCACAATCAATGTTAGAGGAACCGTCCAGTGGATCAAAAACAACACAATACCTGCATCATCAGAAAAATCCATAGCTCAACATTCATCAGCCTCAAGAAACCAAGCATACGTATCAATTGTGTAGGGAACAAACAAATCTACAAAGAAACAGAGCGCAGTAATTACTTTCCACGTTTAGAGGGTTCCACAAATGTTGCTTCCTCATCTTCTTCTGAGACAAGGATGCGCTGAAAAAAGATTTTACCCATCAGCAGAAGCCAATAAAGCTCAGGTTAGTGACTCTGGAAACGACATTATGACTTACTGTTCGCCCACTGCTTATCAGAGCCTTCATGAAGACTTCATTGGAAAGAACATCCAATTTCTTTTGTTCTTCACCCTGTACTCCAAAACGAAAAGCAAACACACTATAAAAACGAATTCCAAGAAAACATGAGACAAGACGTTTCAAAATATAATAAGAAACACATTTTTAGACCGTTCACGCGCTGAAAGGAGATTGTTAAATAAAGATTTATGAGGCTACCAGAATTATCAAGCACTTGCCTGAACATTGGTCTCACCAGCAAGTCCTATGAGCTTTGCAAGACCCGCCTGTATGATTAAAAGTTAAAATTTTGTTACTACGGTTTCATAACCAGCAAGCTTCCTTTAATTACCCGAAGTCACGGTCACGTTTTAATCATGCAAAGATGGCCTTCGTAACAATAAGGCGGGCTCTTTTGAATTATTTTGTAAGTTGTACGACTTTTGAACTCCAAAATTTGATTTGATTGTGTCATAAAAGATTCGCAAAATATTCTAAATGATCGTTATAGAACTCAATTAACCTTTTTTAGTTTGAGATCCAACCATATAACTACGATTCTCAAACGCATAAGTTCAACAGTCTAGTTTCAGGCAAACTGGGAAAGCCCATATTTCGGTAAGACAGACAATAAAATTCACAAGTCTGCGCAAATGCGAGCAATTCCAAAACAAAAGGGTTAACAGAGACGAAGAGACCTTGCTAACTGCAGAGCAGACAAACTTGCAGCCCAAGACAATGTGATTGAGCAAGATGGTGAAATCGCCGCGAGATTCATGATGCTTGGACTGCTCGTTAAGCACGAACCGCGTAATGGTCATCAAGTCCGTGCGCTGGGCATCGGCGCTGTGATCCATTATTTCTTGGACTCAGAACCACTTCGAACTCGGCTTCGCCCTGAAGAAACGGAAAGCGAGCACGTTTTTGAATTTTGAGTGCAGAGAGTTGGTATTTGAATGAGCCCACCAAGTGGCGCTCGAATCAAGGTACAAAGATAACATAAGGGAGGACGAAAGAGATGGATGGGGCTATCCACGAGCAATGGAGAACTTGGGAGACACGTGGCAGGCGTGGAAGGGTTGGGGGAGCTCGTGGTGGTGGCGACAGATAACGATTTTCGTCGTCATCTTCATGTGCTTGCGACATTTTTTTTTTTTTTTTTGGGGGGGAGCAAATATGTATTTGCGACTTGTTATGGGATTTGCCATCATCTCTCGTCGTGGCGCGTCTCGTTTGCTGGGCATCGGAGAGCTGCCGTTCCAGCTCCCCAGGGATCGGGATCCTAGATTCCTGAAGCGAGTGATGCATAATTTTCTTAACTTTCTTTTTTTTAATGTAATTTAAATGTATGTTTCCTAATTTTTAATTCTGTGGAAGCCATCAATCTCCATATAACACGCGAAATTTATGGAAAAATTGCTTCTCTTCCCGGTTAGTGCAGTATTAATATTTTATCAATGTTCAAAAATTCATATTTTAAGGAATAAATGAAACGGGTGAAGTAAATGGCAATTTTCATGAAGATGCATTTGAACATTTCACTAGTCACATGAATAGTTGAATTAAGGCACACAAGACATAACAAAAGGTGGAGTTCGCGTTTGATGACTTCACTTTTAAAAAATGTTTTTTAAAAATTAAAAGTTATTTAAATATAAAAAATGTGATGAAGATGCTTTTATAAATGTATTCTAAGAAAGTGATTGAATGTAGATTTGTTTAGCTTGATTTCCCCGAGCTTTTGATATGTGATTTTCAAATGTAATCTATTAATTTATGATATGACCATGCTACTCCTAATTTTTATATAAAAAAATTGTAAGTAATTTTTTGACAAATTACATGTATAAATAACCAAACACACACTTATTATAAATATAGGTTAAGATGGGGTTAAAATGTGAATTTATTAACTCTAGTTTTTTGGTGGATGAAATTGTAGATGGGAGTTAAATTATACCTATTTTTATAAATGATCATAATACTCTTATTATGTTTTAATTTTTTCCAGTATTAAATTATATATTTTTTATTCTTATTATTTAACATATTAAATTTTATGTTATTTTAAATTTTTGATTTTTTTAAACATTTTTAATATATTATAGTTATATAACAAAAATTATCAATTATTATAAATGAATGTCTTTTTTGGTCACTGTATATTCAAAAGTGTAGTTCAAAAGCATAAATTTTTATTAATTCAAATAACTTTTAGTTTGTCAAATTGATTTTTAAAAAAATATATTTAAATATAAATTTTGTTACAACAATTAATTTTTACTAAACTGATTTTTATCAAATGAACTTTTATCAAACTGACTTTTGGCAACCTAAAATCAAACACACAAGTGTTCTCTTGATATCTTATGTCAACATCTTTGATTATGTTCAATTGAATTAACAATCTTTTTTATTACTTTTAAATATTCTTTCATTAAAAATAATCCTGTTTAAAGTATAGTCGTACATTAAATATAAACACTTCTTTTAACAAAAATTTAAACCTAAAATCAATAATCTTTTATGTGGTCACAGTAAAATATATATATATATATATATCGGAACATTGGGTTATTTACTCATCAATTGTTTTAATTTAATTATAACTCAATTTTAAATCACACTGTCATTTATTTAATTTTTTTAGATCCTCCCGTCGTTCCCTCTTTCTGTTTCGAACATGCTGGGCATCTTAGAGTGTAGGCCATGTCCTGGAAACTTAAACAAAATTTTCTTGATTTTTATTTAGGTTGGTATTTAATTTTTCTTGATTCTTAAAAAAAGTTGAAATTTCGACAGTCCATACATGGGATTAGTCAAAAACTCGCGTGCAATTTCGCTTTTATAAATCAGGAGTAGTATGGTAAAATAAAAAAAAAAAAGGAATTACATTTACAAATCCACATTCGACGACTTCTCCGCAGCACATTTGAAAACGCAATTTCATCTTATTTTTTTACATCCAAGCAACTTTTTACTTTCATAAAGTCTCCCTTTTTTAGATTTAAAAGTTGAGTCAATGGACTTAAGTCTATTGATGGGTATATATTGATAAAAGGCAGAATCACATCTAACTACTCAAGAAATTAATTCACAGAAATTGTTGTTAAAAGAGAAATATTAACTTATTTTTTTAAAATAAAACTTGTTATTAGTCTTCATTTACAAATAAGTTTTTTAAGAGGTCCTTAGATATAATTTTTTCTTGATAAAATTTTTGTTAAGAATTTTAATCAAGCCTTGTAAACTAAATCTAAAAATGTCACTTAGAATGAAAATAAAGGTTAAGGTGTATTTTTACTTTTGAGTTTTTTTTTAGAAGCTCTAGACACTTTATATTGATAAGTGAGTCAATTTTATCCTTGAATTATTTTTCTGAAGAGCAAAAAACCATTTCTATTAATTAGCCATTAATTTTTTTATTTTCTACTAATATGGCATCTGTGTGGGACCCACACACAATAATAAGTAAGACTTTGACTATATCTTATGGTACTAATTTGCCTATAAACTCTTTTTTTATGAGTGTTAAGTACCCTAAAATTATTTTAAAATAAAATTTAATAAATATTATTAAAATATTTGTAAATAATAACATTTAATAGTTTAAATATTATTATTATTTATAAATACTCATTCATAATTTATGAATTATTTTTTAAATGTTAACGATTCAAACTAATTTTTCATAAATTTATAAATGACTTATAATATATATATATATATATATATAATATTTTTAATATTGATTGAGTTCTTTAAATTTTTATGTCATTCTTTATAATTTTTTTATCAATTAACAGGCTTCCTTCAAAATATTACACTATCCAATTTAACATTTTAATATTTTTAATATTTTATAATTTTGTATTAAACTTGAAAGGAATGAACCTCTAAATCAATGGATGGACTTTTTTCTCCTCATCTTTCCATTATTTTCTTATTAAGTAACATTTTTTGTAACATGTTAATGGGATAGGTTATCTCTTTCAAATAAATATTTTTGCTGGCATATTATTGGTCCTGATATATTATGTGTGTTTTTAAATTTATTCCTAACGCTACAGAGTATAGATAGTATTACATTTGAATGGTATAATATTTTTATTATTGGTTAACTAAAAAACATTACAGAGAAGGGCCTAAGAATTTAAAAAATTTAATTAATATTAAAAATATAAGTAAATTTTTGCTCATACAAAAGATACAATGATATGAGCACTATCTCAAAGAATATTTATAAATTATTTAAAAAATTAAAAATTTGTGATGAATATTTATAAATAATAATATTTAAATTATTAAATATTAAAACATTTAACATTTAGTAATATTTATTTTATTTTATTTTGACAAGAATTTAGAATAACTAACACTCCTAGAAAAAAATTTTAAGATGCTCAGTGCTCCTAAAAAATAGTACAAGAACAAATTAACATTAAAGGACGCAGTCAAAGACTTATTTGTCATTATACATAGGCCCCATGAATATGCCACATCAACAAAAAATAGCAAAATTAATAGCTGATTAATAAAAAATATTTTTTGCTTATTAAAAAAATATTTTTTAAAAAAATATCTCACTTATTAATATAAAGTGCTTAATATTTTTTGAAAAAAAAGTTTAGGGGTAAAAATGTATTTTAACCCTTAAAACAAACATGTTGCTATGTTGGTACTGATTTCATGAAGTTGAAGGAAATAAATGGCACGTTTATTTCATCCATTTTATATGAAAAAATTACTTATTTTTTAAAAATATATTTTATGAAATTTTATTGTGTTTGTTTAAATTTTTAAAAATAATCTGAATCTAAAAAATATTTTTGATTATTTTGAAAAATTATTTTAAATTTTTTTGAAGATAATCTGATGTAATAAATAGGGGAAGATGCCATGAAAATGTGAATACATGAACATATCATAAAATTTTAAAAATAATTAAATAATATATTATTTTTATAAAGCAAATATCTAAGAAAAAACTATAAAATTTAAAAATCAATTAAGTAATAATTATTTATTATTATTTTAACCAAACATAAAATAATATATGTTTTTTAATAAAAATTCTACAAAATAAGTCTTTTTTTAATATAAAATCCTTAAACTGTTTAAAATTTATTTATTTTTTTAATCTTAAATGAACGAATCCAAATAATTGTTCAGCGTTATTGTGGAGAACCTATACATGTCTTATAATTTATGGAGCCCAAACTTGCTCCTCAAATTATGCCTTTCTCAGCCATGCATTATCGGAAGATTTTATTTTAGTTTCGTCATGGATATTAAATTAATATATCGTGCATGTCGATTATCTAATCATATACTTTAGGCCAAAATAAATAAAACTTTTTAAATTTTAAAATAATTGTATATAACTCTCTTCACCTTTAAATATTTAAAGTTAACTCTCATAACCTTTAATTTTATTTTCCAAAACCAACTACTCTTAATTACTTTGTTATATTATTAATAGAGCTTGTAGTGTTAAACTAAAAAAAGCCACATAAAAGCTTATGTGGCATTTTATGTAAACAAATAATACATGTATAAAAATTATATTATTTTATAAATATGTATTTTTGTATTAGTTTTATCCATACCTTTTTGTTATTAATAATTCATAGTTTTCTTGTGTTAAATAATAAATTTTTTATTTATATAATTTTTATCAATAATAGCTTTAGATATTTTCTTTTCATCTGTTTCGTCACGTCCCGAAGTATAATGTGATTGGCATAAAATTTGTGTACAGACACATATCTCTTAAGTTTTGATTAAAAAAAAATCTAAATTAATATCTTAACATTCATTTAACATAGGGATAGAAATCAATGCAACTCTTTTATATTAACAAAATAATTTCCAAATTTTTTATAGAAATTTCTACAAAACCTCTTATGTAAATAAAATCTCTTAAAAATTCTATGATACAATTTTTCAATTAAAAAATTACAAAAACTAAGAGTTCAGCTCTATCTAGCCATTAAATAGAGTAACAAAATAAGAATTTTAAATATAATTTATGTAGAGCACCTAACTAATTTTTCATGATATAATGTATAAATTTGATTATTAAATCAAAGGGATTGTTATCAAAATAATTATTTGCCTAGCTTAACAATAAGCCCTCAGTTATCATCAAGAGGTTCAGCATTAGCTAAAATATTTAAAATCAAAATAATTTTTTTTAGTAAATAACGTCTCGATAATAAATAGATGAAAAAAATAAAAGGAATAAATTGCAATGATTGTATAAACTAAAGAGACAATAATTTTCATATAAAATATTTAATAAACTTTGAAATTAAGAGGCTTTATATATCCTTAAATAAAATCTAAACGATTGAATTATTATATAAAATATTATTATCACTTGATTTAAAAAAAACAAAATAAATAAAATAAATAAATACGGTGATATCACTAATTAAAACCAATGGAGTATAAAATCATCAAATAATCAAAACTCACATTTTGGTGAAGTTATTAGAACAATTAATAAATGCAAACACATGATCCACAAAAGTAAATAATCAAACACGGTTTACATTATGAAAACAAACATAGACATGTGATTCATGAGAGCAAATAATCAAATGTAGCTTAAGCTATGAAAACAAACGTGAATACATAATTTATGAAAATAATACTAACTAAATGCAGCTCAAAGCTATGAGAACAAACACAAGTATTAGACTTGCAAATAATAAATATGAGAATAAAGTTTACGAAAATTAAACTAGCTAGGTATTGACTATAGTGCACCAAGGCTAATGGAATTGCTGTTGACAATCAATGTTCTGTATAAAATTCCCTCCAAATACATTTTTAAACATGAGAGAAAATAATTACTATTAAAATATATAGCTTTCATTCTCATATCTCTTCAAGCATTAATGTAATGTTTAACAAAATAAAATTTTATAATTAATGTCCTTACTTACATTTATTGAATTATAAAAAATTACCAAAGCTTGTGAAAATAATTTTTATCAACCTTGAAAGTATATCTCATGAGGAGCAAAACATTCATATGCTGTGATGTAATTGTTCTCCACCATCATCTTATAACTTCAAATGAATTAATTTATTTAACAAAGTATTCAATACTCAACATAATTATTATTAAAATAATCTATATAAAAACATAACATTTTAGTAAAATAATTTATTGATAAATTAGTTGAAACATTATTTACTTACTTAAAATTTTCAAAGTTCAAAATTCACCTCTTGACTTCAATTAAATTTCTCCTCTTTGAAACACACTATAAATTTTATTAAGAATTTAATAGAGTTTCAACAAATTCAATAATTCCTTTCCAACATTATCACTACCAAAATTTAGCCATAATAAATTTAAAATTTAAAAAAAAAAACTTTACATGTAAGAGTCTCTTAAAAGTCATAAATAAATACTCCATTAAAATACAATATCTTTTAGTCTTTTTATCAAAACACCAAACATACATCATTTTCAAACCCAACAACAAAGCTTTTAACATTCAAATTCCTTACCCAATAATTTCTCAATTGAATAGTTCCAAAAAACTTAACTAGCTATAAATTATCTTATAATCAAATTTCTACACAATACTAAGCTCAATTCACAGATAATAACATCCAAACCAATTATGTCTTTCATTTAATGAGATTTTAGGAAACACTCAATCGGGCACTCCCTTTAACAAGCATTTTAACAGGTACCTTATAGTTATAGACACCAATTTTCAAGTTTCAGGTATCGGTTCTTCTATCCCAATCTCATACTAACCATTTTCCATAAGTTATCCAACATCAATTCTAGAATTAATCGAACTTCTCAATATCATTCCTTCGACATAAATAAATTTTTAAACTCAAGAAAAATTAAATCCCCACCTACCATTATTCATGGCAAAAAAAAACAAAGAACATTCACCATCTCAACCATTTCAACACACACAAGAGGAGAATTTGCAACTTCACAACATCAACAAGAAAAGAAGTAGGAAGAGAGGAATGTTCGAATCCCACACTCTACAATGGTAGTTTTAGGTTGCATAGCTATGAGTACGAGTATCTGATATGATACGGCATGATATAATTATATGACAAATTTTTAAAATTTTAGGATACAGGTATGGAGATATTTATAATATATATTTTAACATTTTATAATATAGGTGTAGGTATTTTGATTTTTTAAACAATAATTTCTAAAGTAATATAAGGATATTTATAGAATCCACCAAAATATTAGGTGCTTTTTCAAGTTTTTAAATGATATAATAAGAATTTATTAGAAAAAAATCATATTATAAATGTTAGAATATGAGATACGTATGCAAAAGTATCCTATAAATATCGTATCGAATACGGATACATTTATTTTTTTAAAGTATTCATGCTTCATAGTGGCAGTTCACTGTGAGCATGGAGCAGAGATGAAGAAGATAAAGCTCATGGCTACATAGGGAAGGGAAGGACTCGTGATTCATGCCTCAACACGGTGGTTCATGGCAAGCATAGAGCATGGGAGAATGGGGGGTCTCGACAAATGTCACAATAGTGGTGAGCAGAGCTCCTGTTTTAGTTAATGACGTGATGGATGAATGGCAGAGGATGAAGGTGGTTGGATTGAGGATTCGAAGCTTTTGAGCAATAGATTTCTCTTGCACTCACACAGTCTAAACTTAAGCCAAGGCTAGAAGGAAGAAGGTAGTGACGATTGCTGGCGTTAGTTGCAATAGAGGAGGAAGAAGACGGGGATCAATGATGAATTTCTAACTTCTTTCACTCTTTTTTTTAAGGGTACAATAGTAATTTTCATTTAAAAGACCAAAATGAAAATAAATATTTCTCTAAGCAAAACTAAGATTTGAACACCAGATCCGATAAGCAAGAACTGAGAGAAATTCCACTAAGTTACTAAAACTTCTTGTTATTTTTCTTCAAACAATTAATAAAAATACAATAAATTTACAATAAATTTATCTTATTATTTATCCCAATTTTGAAAATTTTTTTAGGTTATTACATGTTTCATATAAAAGGCTTTTTTAATTGATAAATAATAATAAAATTATAATTTTTCTCACAAATTGTGTTAACAATAAATAATGAAAACAACATCCAAAAAGAGAGAGCATTGCCACGTATGTTAAAAGTAAAATTTATAGTTTTGTTCTTTCTTAAATTGTGTTAAAAATTAATAAAAATATTTTTTCTCGTGTTTTGTACCATATGCATTTCATTAATTTGACATTAAAAATTATATTAATAATATAATAGAGTTAATCAACTATAAGGGGCTTCAAACAAACAGAATTAAAGGTTAAGAGAGTTAATTTTTAATGTTTAAATGTGAGGGGCCATATATAATTATTTCAAAATTTATGAAAGTTTTATACATTTATGCTTATATTTTAATATCTTCATTATTCTATAATGCACATACAATTATCATTCATTTGTAAATTCTTTGTGATATTTGAATTGTATATCTTTTCCTATACATAAAAAGTATCTCAGTTACATTCTACATAACGAAATAAAAAAGCTCTCATTTTTCTTATTCTCTCCTTCAAGGTTGATCTCTTCTCTTAATTTTATTATTTATAACATCAAAATAAAAAGGCTCTCACTAAACTAATTTTGATGTTTATTACTTTAAGTATATAACACTATCTCCAGATAATGTAATATTTTGGGGTTGTTTCCTACTTTAAAGGGATATTGTTAAATTTCTATTTCTAGCCATCCCAAACATCGAGTGAGTTTCCTATTTTTATAGTTCAGAGCCAATTGGCAATTTTTTTTCTTTCTTTTTAATAATGTCTCAAAGATGAAAACTTACTCATTTTGATATTACATTAATTAGGAAAATAGCCAAGCAAGATTTTTTTTTTTTGGGATATAAAAGAGAACAAGAGTAAAATTTTGTTTTGTTTGATGTTGGGCCTCATAATGCTTCAGAAAAAAAACAAAGTGTGAAAGTGTAAATAAGAGCGAGCCTGGGCTCAAAAGGCTTCCAAATTGATAAAAGGCGGCGTGGGCCTTTTTCCTTGAAGTCCAGTTTATATAAGCCAACCCTAAAAAAATATTTAACCATTGTTGGAGTCTCATACTGATACTGTTCTCTCTCTTGCACTGTAGTTCTGCGTTTCTTCTCACAATCCCCTTCACTCCTCGTGCTAGGATTATTTCTCACGTTTTCCCCCTCCATTTGCATTGGAACTCTTCCATATTTCATCGCCACTGGAAATTCGATTCTTTATCGCATCAGTTCCGAGTAATCCTTCTTCCAGTTCAAGCTTAATCTTCCTTCTTGATTTCGGATTCTTAGGTAGGCCACGTTGTTGGCAATACGATTCGTTCTGTTTGTTTCCGTGACGCTTTTTTGGCTCTTATGCTGTCAATTCGCATGAGTTGATCCAATTATTTATGATTCGATGTTGATTTATGATATATTACTTACCTTTTTCGATTTGCAGTTTATGATCTCAGGGCTTGGTTTTACACGCTAAGGTAAATTCGTCGAAAAGATATCTAAAATCTAAAATGGGTAGAAAGAAGCCGACCGCCCGTGACGATGACAACGCGCCCGCTGCATCTCAAGGCGGTGGAAAGTCGAAAAAGAAGGGGCTAGTGATCGATGATGATGAGTATTCTATTGGAACGGAGCCCTCTGAGGAACCTCCGGCTCAAGAAGAGAAACCTGCGGCGACGGGAAAGAAGAAAGGTAAAAAGGGTAACTCAAAGGCTTCAGAAGCCGAGCACGAAGATTTAGAGAAGGCGATGGATGATGATGATGATGTACCTGAAGTTGTGTTTACTGGGAAGAAGAAGGGAAAATCAAAAAAAGGTGGTGGAAACAGTGTGTTTACTGCTTCGAGCTTCGGTTTGCTTGGTGATGAGGAGGGTGGAGGGGATGATGAAGATAAACAATCCGACATAGCTGGTGAGGTAGGCAATGATGACGAAGATGAACCGGTTGTTACTTTTTCAGGGAAGAAGAAATCTTCAAAGGTTTCCAAGAAGAAGGGTGGTAGCTTGTTCACCGCATCAGCTTTTGATATTATAGATGAAGATAATGAAGAGGAGGTGATTGATGATTCAGTGGAAGCCAGCCGCGAAGAGAATGATGACATGGAAGAGCCGGTTATTGCTTTTACGGGTAAGAAAAAATCATCAAAAAGTAGCAAGAAGGCTGGTGCCTTATTCACAGGATCTAGTTTCGGTAATACTAACGGAGAGCAGGACAAAAAGGAGCAAGAAGATGAGGATGAAGATGTTGCTCCGATCACTTTCACAGGGAAGAAGAAGAAGTCATCCAAATCTTTGAAGAAGGCTGTTAATACATTTAGTGCAGCTGTTGCTGAAGAGGATGTGGATGATGATGATTTTGTGCTCGAGTCTACTATAGCTGATGAAGATAAGGTTGAGGACGAAGATGTTTCTATTATTACGTTTTCAGGTAAAAAGAAGTCTTCTAAGAGAAACAAGACTGCTACTACCAAAGCTAGTGATGATTTTGAATCTGTTAATGAAAGTCAAGTTGCTGTAGAGCCTGGGCAACCTAGCGTAATAGACAACAATAAAGGTAATAAGAGTGAAGAGGTGATTGAAACTTCAAAAAATAAAAAGAAGAAGAATAAAAAGAGTGGAAGAACTGCTCAAGAAGAGGAAGATTTGGACAAGCTTCTTGCTGAGCTTGGGGAGGGGCCTCCAGTAAAACCTGCTTCCCCTCCAACAGAGGATGATAAAGTTCAGGCTTCTTCTGAAGTGGCTGTTCCTGCTACTGCTGCGGTGGAAAAAGAAGGGGAAGAAGAGACAATTGAGTCAGCTGCTGCAAAAAAGAAGAAGAAGAATAAAAAGAGTGGAAGAACTGCTCAAGAAGAGGAAGATTTGGACAAGCTTCTAGCTGAACTTGGAGAGGGGCCTCCAGTAAAGCCTGCCCTCCCTCCTGCAGAGAAGGATAAAGTTCAGGCTTCTTCTGAAGTAGCTGCCCCTGCTGCTGCTGTGGTGGAAAAAGAAGGGGAAGAAGAGACAATGGAGTCAGCTGCTGTAAAAAAGAAGAAAAAGAAAAAGGAAAAGGAAAAGGAGAAGAAGGCTGCTGCAGCAGCTGCGGCTGCAAGTGCCCCAGATAATGAGAAGAATGAAGAAGTTAAACCCGAGATCTCAGAATCAAAGAAGAATGATTCCAAGAGTAAAGCAGCTGACAAGAAAGTGCCAAAGCATGTTAGAGAGATGCAAGAGGCATTGGCCCGAAGAAAAGAGGCTGAAGAGAGGAAGAAAAGGGAAGAGGAGGAGAGGCTGAGGAAGGAAGAAGAAGAGCGGCGTAGGCAAGAGGAGCTTGAGAGACAAGCAGAAGAGGCAAGACGTAGAAAAAAGGAAAGGGAGAAGGAGAAGCTCCAGAAGAAGAAGCAAGAAGGCAAATTATTAACTGGTAAGCAAAAGGAAGAAGCTCGTCGCTTGGAGGCCATGAGGAAGCAGTTTCTTGCTGGTACAGGGGGTGTCACTCTTCCTACTGGGGACTCGGGTGTACCAGCAAAACGACCCATATATCAGACAAAGAAGTCAAAACAAGCCCATCATCAGCAGAATGGCACTGCCCCTGTTAAGGCAGCTGAAGATGTGGAAGCAAAGGAAAATCTGGAGACCACCCCTGATGCAGAGTCATTGGAACCAGAGAAGGATGAAGTGGTTGAATCAGTGCAGGATGAGGACAACGTTAAACCTTCTGAAGATGTTGAAGAAGATGAAGTTGAAGAAGATGATGAGGATGAATGGGATGCAAAGAGTTGGGATGATGTTAATTTAAATGGAAAAAGTGCATTTGCTGATGAGGAGGCTGACTCAGAACCTGAACCTGTAGTGAAAAAGGAGATAAAAAATGCTGTATCAACTCAAAATGCTGGTAAGACGTGCACTTCAATAAGCCTTCCTTTTATAATTTAAGCATTGTCAAAATGTCTGGTGATTGAATTTGAATGTTTGGTTTCATAGCATTGCCTTCGTAACCATCTGAGGAATTTCATTGATCTTGTTGAGAGCTAAAATCCAAGCACTTGTTCCGCATTAAATTTCTTCTTTGTTCCAGTTATGGTTGGTTTGATACATTTGTTGTATTGTTTGAATGAATTATTTTTGTTTGTTTAACGTCCTCCTTTTCAAATGGATAATTTGTTGCTTAGAGGTAAGAGTGTATTTCATTATTCCCTTCCTCTCCCTTCAAAGGGAAAAAAGGGGGCCTAGGGTGTGCTTGAACTTTCCTCTGTGAATACACTCCCAGTGAGAAGGGTTGGATCCATTTTTTCCCCTTCCTGTTGTTCTAGACTGTATTGCTGCTTGTTTGGTATCAAAACTTGGTTTTGATTATATTTTAATGCTGGATAGCTTTTGCTTAAATTTTTCAGTTAGTAATAACGCGCTGCAAATTAATGAACTTGTTAATTAATCGTTGTGGGTTACCTGGTTCAAGATATGTGTTGATGTCATCATTATTGCTGTTGATATGCATATATATGGTCATTGTTGTTGATTACTTACTCATTGTAGCTTACCTGCTTCCATGATATGTATATTGTGATATTTGTTACATCCTCCTATATTTTGGTATCTTAATTGCATGTCTATTATGCCATACCTTTTCATTCTTATGGGGTTGTTATCAAGCTAGTGATTCGCAAGACCTCAGTCAAACATCTCCAACCGATATTTAGTGTTTGGCTAGCGTGAGAAAAATGTGAACCAATATCCTTTCTCCTGAGAAATAATTTGTTGTAATATGTTTAAATCATAACTATGCATATTTTGTGTGTATATGCGGTGCTTGGAGGTTTTGTTTGCAAAAATTTAGAAACTTATTTTTGCTCCCATAGAGAGATTGCATATATTAGGGGCTCAAGTGTTTCCCTTCTAATTTTGACTTTTTGCTCCTTTGATTATCTACCCTTCAGCACCTCTGTCTGTTGTCAAGTCAACAGGCACAACTAAGAAAGCTGCTTCTACCGAGCAAATTGAAAGTAAAATGCAGGTTGAGAAGCAACCACCTAAGCAGGTTCAGAAGCAACCAGCTAAGCAGACTGGGTTGCAACCACCCAATTCAGCTGTGCCTTCTCAGCCAAGTGGAGAGAACCTTCGTTCCCCAATTTGCTGTATTATGGGCCATGTGGACACAGGTAAAACTAAGCTGCTGGATTGTATTCGAGGTACTAATGTTCAGGAAGGTGAGGCTGGTGGCATCACACAGCAGATTGGCGCTACATATTTTCCTGCTGAGAACATACGTGAAAGAACAAAGGAACTGAAAGCTGATGCAAAGCTGAAAGTTCCAGGTCTGCTGGTGATAGATACCCCTGGGCATGAGTCTTTTACTAACTTAAGGTCAAGGGGTTCAGGTCTATGTGATATTGCAATTTTAGTTGTCGACATTATGCACGGATTAGAACCTCAGACAATAGAATCACTCAATCTGTTGAAAATGAGGAATACGGAATTCATTGTTGCGTTGAACAAAGTGAGTAATTCAGTCTTATTCTTATTAGATATTGCTTTCTTTATTTTATTTTAGTTGATGCTCAGGGTTGCCGCTCTGTACTTGCAACATTGCAGGTTGACAGACTTTATGGTTGGAAAGTATGCCGTAATTCTCCAATTGTTAAGGCAATGAAGCAGCAAACCAAGGATGTACAAAATGAGTTCAATATGAGAGTGACTCAGGTTCTGGAAGATGTCACATCTTATCTTTCATATAAATACATTTTGTTATTGATCTCGTTCTGATCCATCTTTTTCTTCATTAGATCATCACTCAATTCAAGGAACAGGGGCTAAACAGTGAGTTATACTATAAAAACAAAGAAATGGGAGAAACCTTCAGTATTGTACCTACTAGTGCTATAAGGTAATTTTAGTAGCCAGTCCTCTGCAATTCTTTACTATTAGTTAATTCAAGCGCACACCTGGCCAGTATGGAGTCATTAATTGAACCCGGACCATTTCTTTTATGTGTGAGAATTGCCCAAAAGATTTAGTCACTCTTAGGTCTACTGGTCTATTGGTGCCCTCGTCCTAAATCTAAATGGAGGGGTCATGCTCTCAAAATCTTGCTGCATAGTTGCATTTGATTCTGCAATATGCATAACTTGCCAAATTGGGGGATGCAAGCTCTTTTATTTTGTCTGGAATTGAATCACTGATTGCATAACCTCCTGAATACAGTAACTGTAAAGCTCTTTTGTATTTGTGTTGATATTTTGAGTGCTCAATATTACAGCGGTGAAGGTATCCCAGATTTGTTATTGTTGTTGGTCCAATGGACACAAAAAACAATGGCTCAGAAACTTACGTATAGTGATGAAGTGCAGGTTAGCTTTTTGTCACATAAGTTTAAGCTGGTTAAGTGCTTTAAGATGGCTTAAGTGCCTGGCACTGATTGTTGTTTGATTTCATCTACCAGTGTACAGTCTTGGAGGTTAAGGTTGTTGAAGGTCATGGGACAACGATTGACGTTGTCTTGGTTAACGGCGTTCTTCATGAAGGAGATCAAATAGTTGTGTGTGGAATGCAGGCAAGTATCTCAAAACTGTTTCTGCAACATCTCCAGTCTGTATTCAGCTTCTGACTAATAAAATTTCTAACACAGGGACCTATTGTTACTACAATTCGAGCTCTATTGACACCTCATCCTATGAAAGAGCTCCGTGTTAAGGTTTGCCTACTTTCTTTGTCTAGTTCTTTTAATTTTTGCCTAATGTGTCACCTTCATTGACTGAAGAACGGGACCTTTTTCTTATTTTATTTCGTGTAAATGAGTGGTTTTTGGAGGTTGTATGAAAATCTCATTCAACATGGAGGGAGAATCTTCATCCTTTTTCTGGATTGATTTTTGTTATGTCACTATGCACTACCCCACTGCCTCCTGCTTTCCGTCAGTCCTAAAGTGGAATGGTAGTCAATGACTGAAGTGCCAGGAATAATAATAATAATAATAAGGATTTTTTTTATAATCTAGGATACAGTGTGGTATAAATAAATTGCAGGAAATAATAAAATTAATAGCAATGAACTTAATGCAATAATAAAATTCATTATTTAATTTAGGGATAATGACACTTTTAATCTCTTAAATTTGCCTTATTTATCGATTTGGTTCTTGTTGTTTGAAGATGAGGTAACACGATTAAAATTAGCTGACATGGATAATTAAATATTGAGTTGGCAGCTATGTGAATTAATGAAAATTGTTTAGGTAGGGAAAACATCTGACTGAGAAATTTTAAAAATAAAGGAACAAATATGCCACGTAAGGGATTAGATTGATAAAATTAAACTGATTTAAAGGCTAATTTATTCTCATTTAACCACATATACATGCCAAGTCATGCTTTATATATTAGATTAATTTGAGGGCCAATTTATGTTTCAAAACCTAAGGACTAATTGTTAGCTGAAGAATAAAAATTAAACTTTAGAGATCACTTTGATAACTGAGACAAACTTGAGGAACTAAAAGTTTCATTATTCTTTAATTCAATAAAATATCAGAACTCTATTTTTCAACAACTCTTGTTTTTTTGATGTGCTTATGGCTTTGGCTTTTTCTGGCTGCACTGAAATGATTAAGCATTTCAGCCAAAAACCTTGAAATGTAATTTAGGGGAGGCTAGTTGGTCTGGGGCTCCTAAACATATAATCCCATCTATCTCCACATGAATGTAGTATTTCTCCTAGATATCAAGTGGTCTGATTAAAGTTTGCCACATTCCTCTACATTTGGTTCTTATTATAATTAGAGATTTCCAAAAGTTCAATATAAAGTACTCTATGTTTTTACTATTGGTAATTCTTATTTGTCAAACAAAAAATGACTTCTCAAACATTTGAAGAAGTATGAAAATATTGATTAAATATTTAACATAAGTATATTACGTTAGAATTGTATTATGTTCATGTTGTGAAAATACGTATCTAATTATCACTAGTTTCATGATTGTTCAACTATACTCAGACCAATAAATTGTGAACTAGTACCTCCATTGGATCATTATGTAGTGCGGTTTTAAAACATTATAAATAAATGAACAAAATGGTGATGAAGGAATCATTGGCTCCTTTATACTTGAAATGCTTAGTTTCTTTCTTACACCAACTTAAGGCATATGATTGGTTTATTGACTTTTCTGTTTGCAGTTACTGAACTGAATAAAATCCATATGATCTCTTCTAACTTTTTTTTTTTAGAATGTTAAACGTCTTTATCTCTCTCATCTTTTTCTATCTGTTTGAGACATTTTAACTTGATTGCGTTGCAAACAAAGGTTTTTGTTGTGTTATGTTTGTTTGTTTGTGCAATACCAGATCTTTCATGGTACTTAAACATGTACTCGGGATGAGAACCGTTCTCTTGAGGTGTATTCTTTAACAGTCAACTTATATATTCTGTACAATAATTTAATGATGTTGGATTTCAGGGCACATACCTCCATCATAAAGAAATTAAGGCTGCTATGGGTATCAAAATCACTGCTCAGGTACTTCATGCTGATATTGATCTGACCGTGTTCTTGCCCGTTTGTGTCCAGCATATTATTGATTCTCTTGCTTTTTATGAATGTGGAAGTTTCAACGATTTTTTTCTGTGATATTATATGTCAGGGGCTTGAGCATGCTATTGCTGGCACTGCTTTATACGTGGTGAAGCCTGAGGATGATTTAGAAGATATCAAAGAAGCAGCTATGGAAGATATGGAGTCAGTCATGAACAGGATTGACAAGAGTGGTGAGGGAGTTTGTGTACAGGCATCCACCCTTGGTTCTTTGGAAGCATTGCTGGAGTTTTTGAAAACACCGGAAGTGAATATTCCTGTTAGTGGTATAAGCATAGGCCCTGTACATAAAAAAGACGTAATGAAGGCCAGTGTAATGCTTGAAAAGAAACGAGAGTTTGCCACTATCTTGGCATTTGATGTCAAAGTCAATCAGGAGGCTAAAGATCTTGCAGAAGAACTAGGTGTGAAAATCTTTATGGCTGATATCATTTATCACCTATTTGACCAATTTAAGGCCTATATTGACAACATTAAGGAGGAAAAGAAGAAAGAATCAGCTGATGAGGCAGTCTTCCCTTGTGTCCTGAAAATCTTACCAAATTGCATTTTCAACAAGAAGGATCCAATTGTTTTGGGAGTTGATATTCTTGAAGGCGTATTAAAGGTATTTTATTAATATTCTTTTTATTGAAGTCTTCTCATGGAGGTATTTTATTAGTATTTTTTCTTTTGTATCTTTTTATCAATGATTTTTTCTGATAGTAGATTATTTTTCTTTTTGGTATTTTCATAATTGTGTATCAGTTTCCAAAGCACACTGAATAAACCTATGATTCATCTGTGTTACTGAGGGCTAATTGCATAGCTCATAATCCAAAAAGAAAAAAAACAGAATATTCAATTCACTGTCTAGTTCACCTTCTTTGGTTTGTGCTGACAAGGTTAAACTTGTGAAATTATGAATATTTGATCATGTTTGCAGCATTTTATATTTTGACCTGATTTGTGGCATTCTGAATTTGTATCTAATATTGTGTTTGACAGGTTGGGACTCCAATTTGTGTTCCTTCCAGAGATTACATAGATATTGGTCGCATTGCATCCATTGAAAATAACCATAAACCTGTTGATTATGCCAAGAAAGGGCAGAAAGTAGCCATCAAGGTATGAGATAGATGACGCCTCCTTAGTACGAATGGTTCATGTCTTCCGCTGATTCTCTTTCATTTTTTTAAATTTTAAAACCTTTTATATTTTATGTGCTTCTAACGAATGAACGAGCATTATTATTATTTTTTTTGTGGAAATTTTTTATTTTGGACGTCAGATTTGAACTTGTGAATAAGGATACCATGCTTGGAAATCTTTTCTTAATGCGCTTAGGTTGAATCTAAAGTTTTAAATTGGAAAAATATAATTTTTTAGTCCCTATACTTTCTCTAAATTATCAATTCAATCCTTGAACAACGGCTTGGAGTAACTCATTTTTTGTAGTTTATTTAAGTTAAGGAATTATAAGTAGGGCTGTACAAAGGACCGACTTGACAAGACTTCAGCCTAACTTGAAGTTTGATCTTTTTCATAAAAAGGATTGAGTTAAGCAACCCGTGGTTTGGTTTGATCCTAGTATAAATCAAAGCCGAACAGGATTGGATTGGTCCAATAGAACTAGGAAACTAATCTTGATCTTGTTCAGTATCTCATTTTGTTTTTTTTTTCCTTTTCATCTATGAGAGGTAGTAATTTATTTCAACATAATAAACTCAATTAACATAATAAAATTTCTTAATAGTCATATAAAATTTATCACAACAACAACAACAATTATAAATCCACAATAATCTCTAATAACAAAAAAAAGTATTTTAGTTACAACACAAATGATTTAAATTAAAAAACATTCGACAGTATTGAACAACTTTCAACATGTTTGAAGTTTATTATACTAAGTTAACAACAAATTTCACTAATAAAAATAGACGACTGAGGTTGGTCAATGCTGAAATTTTGCTCAATATTCATGACTTTACAAGTATAAAACACAAAAAATTACTAATTATTTTTACAAATTAACTTACTGTAATAATTAATAAATTAATTATAATTATATTAAATAAATTTATAGTACTAGACCAGGACAATTGGTCCAGATGCTTGATTTATTGTCCGGTCTAACCCAAAAAAAGAGTATGGTTTTTTTGGTCTTGAAAGACCAAATTTTATCTGAATCGAACAGGATCGGGTTTGTTGCTGGTTGGACCGGACTGATTTGGATTGGAGGAATTTTGCACAGCCCTAATTTTAAGAATTGAATTGTATTGAGTCAATAAACTATAGGGGCTGATTTGCTGAGTCAAGAAATTGTTGGGGTTGAGTTTTTCTGAGTCAATAAACTAAGGCCAAGTTGTTCTTAGGCAAAGTTTAAGGACTGATCAATAATTGAAAAAAGAATTCAACAACAACAACAACAACAAGCCTTTATCCCACTAGGTGGGGTCGGCTACATGGATTGCAAGACGCCATTGTGCTCTATCATTTATTAAGCTTTTAGAAATATTATTAATTAAGAGATCACGTTCAACAACTTCCAAGAGTGTTCTCTTAGGCCTTCCTCTACCTCTCTTAATCGGACTCAAAGTTATATGTTCCACTCTTCTCACTGGTGCCTCCCTTGGTCTTCTTTGTACATGCCCAAACCATCTCAACCGATTTTCTACCATTTTTTCCTCAATAGGTGCCACCCTCACTTTTTCGCTTATATGCTCATTTCGAATTTTATCTTTACGTGTATGTCCGCACATCCATCGTAACATTCTCATCTCTGCTACTCCAACTTTATGCTCTTGCTGTCCCGTTAGAGCCCAGCATTCACTACTATATAACATTGCCGGTCTGATAGCAGTACGATAAAACTTTCCTTTAAGTTTATTAGGCACCTTACGGTCACAAATAACTCCTTTAGCTTTTCTCCAATTAAACCACCCAGCTTGAATTCTATGTGAAATATCTCCACTGATTTCGCCATCATTTTGAATAATGGCTCCCAAATATCTAAACTTTTCCACTTGAGGTATAATTTGATCTCCCAATTTCACTTCCAAATTATTTTCGGATAGTCCTTTACCAAATTTACAATATAAATATTCCGTCTTACTTCTACTCAGACGAAAACCTTTCGACTCCAATGTCCTCCTCCATAACTCAAGTTTGCAATTAACCTCTTCTCTTGTCTCTGTTATAAGAACTATATCATCCGCGAAGAGCATACATTTCGGGATTTCCTCTTGAATATGTTCCGTCAAAACATTTAAAATCAAGTTGAACAAATAAGGACTCAGAGATGATCCCTGATGTAGTCCAATCTTTATAGGAAAATCCTTTATTTGACCACTAGGCGTTCTTATACTAGTTTTTACCCCCTCATACATATCTTGTATGGCTTTAATATAAGCAATCCGTACTCCCTTTTTTCCAACGCTTTCCAAAGCACTTCTCTTGGTATACGGTCATAAGTTTTTTCCAAATCAATAAAAACCATGTGTAGATCTTTATCTTTACAACGATACTTTTCCATTAATCCCCTTAGTAGATAAATCGCCTCTGTAGTTGATCTACCTGGCATAAAACCAAATTGATTCTCAGAAATACTTGTCTCCAATCTCAACCTGTGCTCAATTACTTTCTCCCACAATTTCATTGTGTGGCTCATGAGTTTAATCCCTCTATAGTTAGTACAATTCTGAATATCTCCTTTATTTTTATAAATAGGAATTAATGTACTTCTCCTCCACTCATCAGGCATTTTCTTGGACCGTAAAATCACATTAAATAACTTAGTTAACCATCTCACCCCTTCTTCACCTAAACATTTCCACGCTTCGATAGATATACAATCAGGTCCGTTGGCTCTACCATTTGCCATTTTCTTAAGAGCTTCCTTTACCTCCTTATCACGTATTTTTGATAGAATGACAAATTTTGTTCTCCTTCACCAGTTACTAAATCCTCCAAGTTACTAGATGAATCCTCTCCATCATTGAAAAGTTTAGAAAAATAAGTCTCCCATCTATTTTTAATTTCATCATCTGTAACTAAAATTCTTCCCTCTTCATCCTTAATACACCTTACCTGTTCTAGATCTCTTGATTTTCTTTCCCTACTCTTGGCAATCTTATAAATATTTTGCTCTCCTTCCTTCGTCTCGAGGTTCTTATAAAATTCTTCAAAAGCTTTAGAACGAACTTCACCCACAGCTCTCTTAGTTTCCTTCTTAGCCATACGGTACCTCTCCCAATTTTCCTCATTGTTACACAAATGTATGGCTTTAAAACAGTTCTTCTTATACTTGATTTTGTCCTGTACACTATTATTCCACCACCAAGACTCTTTATCTCTCGGACCAGAACCTTTCGATTCTCCCAAAACTACTTTTGCAACCTCCCGTATCTTTTTAGCCATATCCTCCCATATAATGTTAGCACTTCCCTGAGAATCCCAAATTCCTTTATCCAAAAGATTTCGTTTGAAAATATCTTGCTTCTCACCTTTTAATTGCCACCACCTAATCCTTGGTGTTACTACTTGTCGACGTTTTTGGATTTTACTCATAATACACACATCAAGGACTAGGACCCTATGTTGTGTCGTTACAGCATCTCCGGGTATCACCTTACAATTTTTACAAAGTTTTCTATCTGTGTTCCTAACCAAAAGAAAATCAATCTGCGACCTTGAGGCTCCACTTTTGTAAGTGATGAGATGCTCATCTCTCTTCTTGAAACAAGTGTTGGCAATCTTAAAATCATACGCCAATGAAAAATCAAGAAGAGTTTGCCCTTCCTTGTTTAGCTCTCCAAAACCAAAACCACCATGCACCCTCGCATACTGACCAGCTTCCCTCCCGACATGCCCATTAAAGTCTCCTCCAATAAAAATCTTTTCACTCTGTGGTATGTGTCGAATCAACCCCTCCAGATCCTCCCAAAATAATTCCTTAAGACTGGCTTCTGTCCCGACTTGCGGCGCATAAGCGCTAACAATATTAACAGTCTCACGTCCAATTATCATTTTTAAAGAAATAATTCTGTCTCCAATTCTGTTAACTTCTACAACGTTCTTCTTCCACTCCTTATCTATAATGATGCCTACTCCATTGCGTGCACTTACTTTTCCTGTATACCAAAGTTTGAAACCTTGAATATCCTTAGCTTCTTCTCCACGCCATTTTGTTTCTTGCAAGCAAATGATATTGATTTTCCTTTGAATCATAACCCCTACAACCTCTACAGATTTACAATTTAATGACCAAAAAATAATTGAAAAAAGAATTAAGGACCAAAAAATATACTTTTCCTAAGACTAACTTGTCATGAAGATGCCTCAATGTAAGGAGGAATTTCAAACGTGGGGTAATCATGCTGTGGTTGACCAAAAAAAAAAAAAACTGTTTTTCACATTGCAGGTATACCAACAGAAAATAGATGGTAAGTAGTTGTCAAATTAATGGAGTAACATACATAAGAGAACAAAGTATAACACGTTTGATGTTGTGTGCGCAGAGTTTTGGAGTTATTCTCATAGTTACAAGTCCTCTATGATTTTACAGATTGCTGGCAGCAACCCTGAGGAACAACAAAAAATGTATGGGAGGCATTTCGAGATTGATGATGAACTTGTAAGCCATATCTCAAGGAGATCTATCGATATCCTCAAAGCTAATTATCGGGTATGTTGTAATAGAGCATCAAGATTAGTATGTATATCTGGATTTTGTTTCATACTTGCTAATGCTGTTATTACATGGTGTAGGATGAACTGAGCATGGAGGAATGGAGGCTTGTTGCAAAATTGAAGAACGTTTTCAAGATACAGTGAGACTTCACGTGGGTGCTCTCGAGTATGATTCTTTATGGTAAACACAGCTTGAGCAGCGATGTGTCCGGTTTTATACAAAATGGTTCGGGGATTATTTTCTGGCAGCAATTTGGATCCGTCGCTGAGGTTGATACAGATAATGGAATGAGTATAGAGTGGCATTGTTTGTCAAGAAACACTTTTTTTGACGAGAAACTCCTATGCTCAGTATCGGCAGGCAAAGATGAGGCCAAAATGCTGAGAGAATGGTGGCTGGCAAAGGCTGGAATTTTGTGAAATATTATCTGTTATTTTCGTGGCAGACGTTGACTGGGAGCAGAAGCAATTACAGGGATGTAAACATGGATAAGAGATCGACTGGAGCTGACAAATTGTTCTACTTCACACTTGTTTTTTCGCTGGGGAATTTTTTTTTCACCTGAGTAAAACTACATGTGTGTACCTAAAGTGTACATCGTTTTGTTTGAGTTTCTGTTGCATTTTCTTCACCAGCATATTATCTTCACAAATTTTCCTGCCCTGTTGAGCCATTTTTTTTGTTTTTTTTTGGGGGGGGGGGGTTCATTGTATGTGGCGGTTCATTTGGTTAGGGCGGCGTTTGTTTAAATGAGGTATTAAGATTTGTGTTTATTATGTTAATGTTTTAGATGATTAACTTGGTCTTTGAGAAGCTAACCTTAGTGGGAGAAGGCATTTGCTGCTGCTGCATTGTTATGGAATATAGCCTTAGATGCAGCAAAACATTTATCGAGTGATATGCAATGCCTATTTGTTACAATGGTATTTCATTTTTCAAGTTCTAGTTGTCACTGAAATATCAATTGTGAACAAATCTTCACTCGGCATTCCGAACATAAGAGTTTGAGCATGTTTGAGCCAATAACCTTGTAGCTTAAAATGGTATAGAAGTTTATATATAGGTGAGAGGTCGTGCGTTTGATGTTGTTTGCAATTTTAGGCCGTTAATGCTGGGCACTGTTCTCCGTTACCGCTCCTTGGTTCAGTCTTGTTCTTTTTGTTCTGCATAACGCTAATTAGATCTACCATCTGCTGCCTCTAGTCTGGCAATGTGTTCCCCTCTAATTGAAGTTATCTTTTAACAAGAGCCGCTTTTTGGCCAAGGTAATTGGTGGTCGGAAGCTGCACATCTCGAAATTGCAATCCTTAGGATTCCATGGAAATTGCGTGGGCTGATTTCAGCGATACAATAGTTTCAAAACTCCTTTTTACTTTAATTTCAATGTGAGGAGGATATAATTTAAATGCTTTCACATGGGTTATTGATGTTACAAGGTTATTCCATTAATCTTATTTCATGGAAGCTAAATATCTCTTTGCCTAATTTGTTTACTAGCCATTTCCCTGCCTGGATTTAGCTTGATGGCATACCTTTAAAATATCACAACATGGAAGTAGCATGTTGTGTTGGAAAGTGTTTTGGAAAATTTATTTACTATGATGATCAAAGTCATTACGTGGTTTTAAATTGCGCATGCAAATTTACCAAAGCTCTATCAATTTTAATAGCTTCAAATTGTTTAATGGTGTGACTTTGAATGTGTCAGTTATTTTGTGTCCTTGTATGAGTGTAGGACATGTTGCCGATAACTGTAAATCTGCTTCCAATCTTCAATTCCAAGTTTTTGTCTCACCTGTGGGTTTTCGGTCAATTGGTATCAAATATGATGGCTGTTCTAACTCATACTTCTTATGCTAAAATGTCTGGAGTTAAGATTATTGCTCATCGTCAACCTCAAGAGGTTTAAGCTAAGAAGGCTATCATAGACCATTATTGGACACAATCTGCGATTACAAATGACAGGTACATTCGCAAGAGAAGAGCAAAATCATTTGGTTTAGAAAGCATGATAAGTAAGGGGATCAAAATTCAAGTTTCTGAAAATTCTTGTCCTTGAGGGAATCTTGGAAATTCCCTTTCAATGATTGATGGGTAGCGCAAGGTCAGTGATTCTTCCCCATCTACTTCACTGCAATATAAAAGGGTCAAAATTTCTTTAAAGAATATGGTTAGATGGCTTTCAATGCAATTTAGGGAATTTGCCAATCACCATAGCTGAATTGAAAGCCATTAAATGCGGGATCCATCTTTGTTTAAGCCTTAATATTGAAAAGGCTCTGGCATATTCAGATTCTATTGATGCGATCAACTGTGTTTGTAGAGGAGTAAGCAACACTCACTGTTTTTTGAGGAAATATCAGAAGTGCAAAAAATGCTGTTTGCACATACATATTTTACTTTGATGTATGCTCCTAGGGAAGCGATAACATGTGCAGATTACTTAGCTCAACTTGCTCAGAACTCCGCTAATGGAATGGTCTTCCTAAAAGAAATTCCCATGGCCTGCGAACAATCTTTTTTGCTTGCTGTCCCACAGACACTAGATTTTCTTTGCTTTTTTAGTCTTAGCTCCTAACTTTTAGCTAGCCATTTTGATAAAAAAAATTCTTTAAAGGATGCAAATGTTTTTGATGTCTCAAGTTTCTTTATTGAGGATCCTGTATTTTAAAAAAGGTCTATCAAGGTTGAGTGTAAAAGCAACAGTGATTTTGATTATTTTTGGGGTAGAAAAGGTCATAAATGCTTGGCGAGAGATGATTCTATTGTCTGTTACAAGTTGGATGTAAATGCCATGGTACAAGCTAAGTCCTAGGTTTTGGTGGGTTCTCGCACAAGAAACTCACCAGCCGATCCAATGATGTTGAAGAGGGACCACTGTAAGATTTGGAGGAGGAATACACACCTGCAGTGGTTGAGTTGCACGGATGTATGTGGGAATAAAGTCATAAGGTCAAATTTCATTCAAAGAAACACAGCAAATATACTTGAAAAATAGAGAGGAAGAGCAAGTTGAGAGACTGAATTCAGAATTGCTTCAGAATACTTGGAAGTTATTTGGCTCTTAAAATCACCCATACCAGGTGTGGTTTTTCGGTCATGTGTACGTGATAATAAATTGTTCCCTCCTCTAAAGTTTTAAATTATTAAAGAAAAATTGTACACTTGACCCAAAATATATTACATTTTCAAGTCTAAATCTTATCTACATTTCGATAAAGATTTCATGGGCTTGTATTAGGCCTGATCCACCAAGAGTGGATTATCCAACAACCACCATAGTTGAGGTGATACTGTGGTGGTCTCAAAGACATGTCAATCACCCAAAGTGTTCTATCCCAACGTCACGTTTTTCTGTTTTTTTTTTTTTTTTTGGTTTTTCGCAGGTTCTAAAGATTACCATCCCATTGTTGTTAGAAGTATTGCTGAATATTTGGTGGAAGGTGATGATCTTCCAAGCAACATTGCAATCCTATGAGGATGCATATCAGTGTTACTCTCAAATCAATGCCCATTAGAAGCACTGATGTTCTTGAAGACATATCTTCTCGCTGCTCAGGATTGCAGGCAATTGCAAAGAATTCTTATGAAACGAGCACGTTCTGATTTCCTTGACAAAAACTTTACGATGGTGTTGGTCAAATTATTATGCTGACTTTTGGACTAATGCTTGTGGGTTTTCATCTAGTTGTTGTGTCTATTTTATCAGAACAACAGGTTAGGCTTTTTACTAATCATTTTATGTTTATATAAATTTGACTTTTATTAAAAAAAAGGAAATTAATTTAATTATTCTAATTTATCACTTCTAAAAAGAAGCTGATTTTGTAAAGATAAATCAATTAACATTTTCTTCAATTTAGCTCAAATTCTTAATGTTAATAAAAACTTATCATTTAACAAACAATGCATACCCTTTCTTCAAACTTTGATGTCTTAATTTCCCCCTTCCATTTTGATGTATGCCCCATGTGTAGGAGTGGTGAATTTAATTGAAGAGGGAATACCGAACTTTAATATCCGTTGAAGAATAAGAATACAATAATATCACTGGTTTGAAGAGAGATTGAGCGAGATATCAGTCATCATCCTTTCTCTTGTGATAAGGTGCATCACCGATCTAAGTTCTTAGTAACATGTAATTACATACTTAACCATGCATCCTGTAAGCACAAAAAAACTCATTTTACAAAGTGAAGTAATGAACGATCACTAGAGTCTGGTCGAGCGAATCAACTTGGTTAATCCAAAAGTGATGGCCATGGCTAGCCACCCCCCAAGCAAGACCCTCAACACAGACCTAAAAGCAGGAGACCCACCCAGAAGTGCACTTAACCATCCAAAGACCACCAAGGCCAAGCTCACAGTAGCCACAACCATCCCCAACCTCAGCCTGTACTCTCTTATAAATGAAGCTCCAAGCAATGGCACCATTGCTCCTACAGAAAATGCCAAAGCTGATGCTGCTGCCGCTTGAAATGGCTTTGGCAAACCTTGTTCTCCTTCTTTCTGATCCTTCCCACTCCTCTTGTCTCTCTTGATCTGAGCGATCTCGATGTCTAACTGAGAGCACACGGACACGAACTCTCCTATGGCCATACTACAAGCTCCAGCCACAAGGCCAGCAAAGCCTGAGAGGATCATGGCCTTGATGTCTTGCCTCACTGCTCCCACACCCACCATGAGAGATGCCGTGGACATCAACCCATCGTTGGCTCCCAAGACCGCAGCCCTTAGCCATTGTGATCTTTTCGAGTAATCCAAGTCTTTCTTTTCATTAGTCTGATCCATCTCTAGAGGTGTGATCTGTGCCTCATGGTCGGTGTTTTGAAGGGAAAGTTTGGGTAATTGGCTGTTGGCCGCCATGTGAATCACAGCTTTGATAGAAGGGAGAGGTATATAATTGTAGAAGAAGATGGAGTGCGGAAAGAGTGTGGAGGGCACAGGCTACTATAAAGAAGGAAGATTTCATGGATGAACATTATTGTCAAATTTGGAGGCAAAAGTTGGACAATATCCTACTAGTTAGTTAAAGACAAAAAGGTGGGCTGTGTTTACTAAATTTGTAAGGAAGGTATTGTGTTTTCATGGAGGCGAAAAAAGTTCGTTCAACTATGATGATGAACAAGGCATTGTTTTGTTTTTCATTTTTCACTGACTACATGGATAGTCGTCATTGGCCTTATAATCAGAAGATTGAGCTTGTCTGTTACGTTCATAAAAGAGTAACAGATAAAAACACAGTATAAAGACGTGGAATACTATCCTGCAGACAGTAAAGTATGAAGTGGAAAAAGCTACCCCACTATGAACATGTAAAATTTAGGGTTTCATCAAGGGAAGGAGAATGGAAGAGACAAACATAAAGGACGTCATTGATATTGAGGCAGTTATGGTGGATGATCGGAACATCATGACAAGGGCATGAAACGCAGACAAGGACAAGTGAAGGTGCTGATAAATGATGTAATGGCGCCTTTCTTGCTTGCGGAGGTAAAGGGTAAAAGACGCATCATTTTAAGCAGCTTTTTGCTTTTTCCTCGGAATGTGTTTGTTACGTTTACAAAAACTTGGTTGTAATGCCACGCACGTTTGTAGGTTACAGCTATTAATCATTTGCATACTAATGAAAAGGTATACTTAAGATAAAGCCATTGACATGATGTAGGTTTAAATAAAAATATATTAAGATTACGTGAATTTCAATTTGTCGTGCGAAGTTTAGAAAACTTCCATTTCATGAAGTGTTTGTTACACTCTTGGTGAAGGCAAAGGGAGGGAAAATTAGTGGGCCACGACTCACGATTCTTCCAAGTTCAAAATTTTTTCTTAATGTATTTAACCTTCCCATATTTATGCCAAATTTATATTATAAGCTTTTTAATTTCAATTAACCTTGAAGATAAATCCTCACTCCACCGCTTACTCTTGGTTTTGGACATATATAACAGAATAATAATAATAAAAAAAAAAACTTGAACACAGGATAGTATAATATCTGATTTGGATGGCTTATATTTTTTACTTTGTTAATTTAAATTATTACTTTAGAAGTTAGAAAGTTATATTTATTTTGTACTTCATTATTTATTTTAAAAAATTTAAAATAAAAGAAATAGTATGATTTAAATTGTTTGAACGAAGTCTAGATGATTGTACCCGATGATATATAACGCAAAATTTAGAGAATCTATAGATTTAAATTTGAGAGGATAACACACATGCTTGTCATGTTGGCCTCTTAATTAAGCCTTGAACTTACTAAATGTAACTGATTTTGTGAATCACGTGAAAAGAGTTGCTGAATTTTTAAACTCCATTTGTTTACACTTCAATGCTAAGTGAGTATTAAATGTAAACACTTCTAGTTATGATCACAATTGCACATGAAAGAGAGAACAAATCGATAAAAATAAGAAAAAAATATTACATTTTAATTCAAAACTTTAAAATTTAAATTTAAATTTTTATATTTTATTATATATTAACTATTAAGCCTAACTTTATTTCACATAAATGTTCATATAAAAAATGCCACAAACACAAGTTCTTGTTCTTGTAATTAATTAGGGCCAATCCTAATTTTTATGCTCCAAATGATATGAAGCACACAAGTCCTCTTGTAGGCAGTGGTGGACCTATATGTATGCAAGAGCGGGCAAATGCTTCACTTGCTCGAAAAAATGCATGTTAATTTAAGGGAACTTTTATATTTTGCTCCCATAAATTTTAAGATTTTGAATCTACTAAAATGTCAATCTTCCTCACTTAAGAAAAAAAAATAATGTTTCAATGTAGCACTAAAATTTAAATATATTTTTGTATTTGACCAGAGGAGTGCAAATTAATATATAATTAGAGCATAAACCCAAGCAAGAGACATGATATACAGTTCATCGTTCATAGTTCGAACCAATTTGGCCCATCTATTAGTGACTATTGTGACTCATTGAATTGAACTATTTTAGGTGAAGTTTTGAGATTATTTTAAATGATTTTCTTTTTTTCAATATAATATTTCTTGATATTTTTTTGATTAAAAACATATGCCTGTATTAAAAAAAAAAAAGATAATGTAACCAAGAGAAATTAGACACTACTTTTAAGTTCTAACTAGCAGCAACCAAATTAAAGCCATGTCTGAAACAACATAACAACATAACAACACAACAACAACAGAGAGATGATGTTTCCTGCCAGTGAATGTGAAAATGGAAAGAAAAATGCGAAAATCTTAAAAAAACAAAAAGAGTACTGATGCATGCTGAATTAAGGATCTGTCTGAAGACAGTAAACAAACAACTAGAAATCGGGAGGGAGAAGCCCACGGGAAGCAAGAGCAGCTACGATCGAATCGAAAATCATAGTATCCAGCTTCAGTCGCTTCGCTTCTTCCATCAATGATTCCTGGGAAGCTGTACATCCACCAACAACAATCCATGTTTCTATATATTAGAATCCATATATGTATGCATAAGCTAAACAAAAAACCAGCAACATCTACACAGGATCGAAAACATATCAAAGCCGTAATTTTTCTCTGTTACACTTGAACCTCTCGCTAGTATTTGAACAAAGTTAATACGCCGAACAATGTTTTACTGCATGCTGCGTGCATGCATGAAGATAAATTCATGACACTAATCGTTCAACAGTAAGAGTACTAGACATGGAGCATTTTTGCTTTTACATTATTATCGAAGTCCATGTAGGAAACGACGAGCATGAAAACATACCTTTTTCAAGCTGAATTTCTCGCTCCATAGCTTTTATTTGCAGCTTGAGCTCCTCAGTCTCGGCAGTCAACTCTCTGTATTTGCTCTGCATCATTAGATATGACATACAAATTAGTTTTCTAAATGAATATTTCATTGTCCAAATGACCCTAATTCTCTCTTTTGATGAAAACTTGTTTGGGACCTGGTTGTGATTTGCAGGGAGTGTGAAAAGACCTCACTATCCTTATGAGAAAACAATGATATGACATGTGATTAAATTTCAATTAACAAAGCAAAAAGAAGAAAAAAGCAAAGCCCTAAACACACACTATGTCGCTCTACCGCTTAAAATTGAACGTTTTATTCGTGAAACTTGTTTGGTGTCAAAACCTCTCAATTGATCAAGCCTTTCCCTCTAATTAGTCGATTTAGTCTTCATTGTCTATCTTCCTCACCCTTAGGTCCAATGAATAGAATGGAATAAAGTGAATTAAAAAAATTAATACAAAAATGAATTAAATCACCTTTCTCCTTCATAATAAGCATGATAAAACTAATTAACATATACTATAAATGTAAAAATATTACACTATCTAAAAATCTCATAAATTATGATTTTTAAACCCATAAATTAAATTACCTCTATTTCCTCATGAATGTGGTTTACCATCCCTTTTAATCATCTCATTTTTATCTTTATTTTTTCAATCCATTCTTTTATAGGATCTTGGCCTTTGTTGGGTTTTTGTTGTTTGTGCTTATTCAGAGACATCTTCCTTGTCGATCTTCTGTTGTCCAACTTCCATCATCCTTCCCATATCTCATCTTCTATATATCCTTTGAATTTTATTCACCCACCACATACTCATTTTCTCAAGGGTAGTATAGTCTTTCACTCATATTGCAAATAACAACCATGTCTTGTGGGACTTGACCGTATTCTTTTTTTTTTTTTTAAATTTGGCAAAACTTACTTATAAATAAATTTTTTATGAGGGACCTATTTGTATATTTGGATGAAGAGAAGAAAACACAAGATAAAGAGTACGTAGTGACTAATCTTGTAATGACAATACTTATATGTAAAAAGATATATGTATCTCATGCCCCTCTTTTTTTTCTTTCTAAAATTTGACATTTAAGGCAATTTTAGAAAATATGTTTTCTCTTCAAAATTTTATCACTTTTTTTAAAAAAATTGGGTGAAACATGCGGGTGTATGCATCTCTTTTTTAAAGCAGAGGTTTTAAATTTCATCAAGAATTAAATTATACAAGGAGTTTCATATGAAGAAAGAGAGAACATAATACACAATTAAGGGTGGGCATAAGTCAGGCCCTTAATAGGGGCCTACAACCTGGCCTACTTTAAATCTAGCCTGTCCTGCTTACTAAACAGGCTTAGGTCATATTTATATTTTTAATTAAGCCTATTTAGTTAAAAAAGTTAGGTCTATTTTTTTAAGGTCTAGCCTACGAGCCCAACAATTAGTTTTTATATATATATATATAATGTAATATATTACAAACTTCACAATTTGATTTTTTAATTAATCTATTCTTTTTTATTTTTAGTTATATTTTCAAACATATTAGACTTATATATTGATTTTAATATTATATCTTTATTGTTATATTATATTGTCATTGGTAAGTTTTTTTAATTATTATATATTGTAATTGATAAATCAGCTTATATATTGTATATTATAATAGTTCTAAAGTATATTTGAGATGTTTAAAACTAAAATGTGAATTTATTTAAAATGTTTATTTTTAAGTAAGCCTTTAAATAAGTTTTCAGGCCAGGTCAGGTTTTAGGTAGACTCAAGCTTTTGATTTACTACACAAGCTCAGGCCTATTTAGCCAAAACTTAACCCAATCTAGCCTATTTTCACTCCTATTAACACAATATTCTTTAAACAAGTTAATTGGAGGAAAAAATTTGAAGCATTCAATTTCCTTCTCTCTCATGAATCGCAAGAATTATAGGAGTAAGAATCTTTGAAGACAAGAAAAATATTGAATCTTCTTGCAATGGAAAATGCTCTATAAGTCCTCCAAGTGAAGAAAACAAAATATCATAGAAACTATATAGGATGAGAATCCATATATATTTTTTCTGCTCATTCTCTTTGGGTGATATAGCCGCCTAATTATAAGAAATGGCGTATGTTTATGCCTTAATATTATCTCCTTATTATGGATAGAAGAAATTTGTGCTCGACTTCTGTGAACTTTGAAGCTACCCTTCAGAATAAGGCAGATCTAGCACCTGAAGTGAAGAATACTCTATCTCGTCTTCCACTTCAGTCTTGTTTTCTGGCAACAGTTTATTTTTATTCCCTAAAGTTTCACAGTTGTATTCGAGTTTTAATTTAGTTTTTGAAGTTTATTTTGATACAACATCGCCCTTGATGATGGCGTTTCAAAGATTGTTCAATATCTCACCTTTAATTTTCCTGACTCCGTTAACTCCATAAACATAGATATGTAAAACGGGGCTCCATGATATATATATATATATATATATAGTGTGGGGAAAATGAAGTGGATGATAAGTGCAAAATTTTCCTACTTGCTGTTTTCCTTTTCTTTAAAAATAAAATCCCCAAATCAATGCTTTTTAGGGTTAATGATTCTCAATGCTGGGGGAAAAAGGAATTTTTGTAGGCTTATTCAAAATCCCAGTAATGAAAGGAAGAGGATAATATAATAAATTAAACACGAAAAGCTTCCATAGCGCTCAATTTAAGGGCAACAATATGCATACTTGTGATAGATGCTATTAATATTCCATCAACTTCATCAACAATTGAAAGTATTAGCCTTTCTATGCAATCAAAAAAGTAATTTTTCTTCATTACCTCAACTTTGTCATGAGTGATCTGGAGTTTTTCCAATTTGGCATGCTTGAGTTTCAACAGATCATCAACATCATTAAGAATGCTCAATATTTGTTCCTCCGAATCAAGATCCAGATTGCTCAACTTCGAGTTCAATCTAGTTGATATAGAGATGATCGTATTAGATCTTGAGGTCGACATATTCAAGTAAAACCTACTTGATGTCGAAATTGATCTGTTGATGATTCACAAAAGGCAGAAAGGATTGAGCCTTTAATATATTCTTTTATCAGTGCAGAAAACATCACCTATAAAATAGTACACAACTTGTGAAACGCGAGACTTAAGAAGGATGGCCCCCACACGTCTCTTATAGTCTTTCTCTTTCCTACTGATAAAAATAGATTAGGTCGAGTTAGGTTTAATTAAATAAGCCTGAGCCTGTGTTATAAATTAAAAGTTTGAACTTAGCTTAAAGCTTGTATAAGGCTTTTTTCATAGTTAGGCTTTAACTTACGTAAAGTTTAGCTTTGCCTAAAACTTATTTAAAAGCTTACTTAAAAATAAACCTTTTAAATAGGCTTGTAATTTAGTTTTAAACATCTCAAATATACTTTAGAACTATTATAGTATAAAATATATAATCTAATTTATCAATTACAATATATAATAATTGATAGGACTAATGCAACAATAAAATAACACATTAAAATTAATATAGAAATCCAATATGATTGAAAAATAACTAAAAGTAAAAAAGCAAGAATAGATTGATTAAAAATTAAAGGGTGAAACTATGTGTTTGTAACATATTACATAATATATGTGTGTGTGCAAATAGGCAGACTTGTTGGACTCATAGGTTAGGCCTTGAAAAAATAGGCCTAACCTATTTAACTAAATAGGTTTAGTTAAAAGCTTGAATCTAGTCTGAGTTTATTTAATAAATAAGTTAGGCTAGATTTAAAGTTAGTTAAGTTTTGTAGGCCCTTATTAAGGGTCTAGTCTATTTCTACCCCAAGGTTCAAAGCATTGTAAAATACAATGAATTGAAAATATTAACGCATGAGGACGTTATTGAACTAGCATAATTTTACATATTAATGTTTTGGATTCTCTACAATATTGATTTTGATTGCACCATAAAGAGAGATAGAGTGGTGAGACTAATGTGTTAGGTGGGCCCACCTGCTCCTCTCAATGTTTATCTTTCTTCATAGCAAATTTGATCCTGTAAATGTTCAAAATACTAAAAAAGAACTAAAGATATTAACAAATGAGGATAAACATTGAGTTAATTAGTTTAATTTTTACAAACGAAAGTTTTACATTTTTTATTTTCTACAATGGTTTGGTTCATGCATAAAGAGAGCGATAGAGTGGTGAGACCCATGTGTTGGGCGGACCCACCTATTTCTCTTAGTCTTTCTCTTTCTTCACAGCACAATTTGTTGCTGTAAATGTTCAAATTGCAAAGAAATATAGAGAATTGAAGATATTAATAAACGAGGACAAATATTGAGTTAATTAGTTTAATTTTCACATATTAATATTTTACATTCTCTACTCTTTACAATGCTTTGGTTCATGCATACAAAGAGAAATAGAGTGGTGAGACTCATGTGTTAGGTGGATCCACCTGATCCTTTCAGTTTTTCTCTTTCTTCATAGCACAATTTGTTGCTGTAAATGTTTAAAATGCTAAAAAAATATATAGAATTGAATATATTAATGAATGAGGACGAACATTGAGTTAATTGATTTAATTTTTAAATATTAACGTTTTACATTCTCTACTCTCTACAATGGTTTAGTTTGTGTATAAAGAGAGAGATAGATTGGTGAGACCCGCGTGTTAGGTGGGCCCATTTGTTCCTCTCAGTCTTTCTTCTTCATAGCACAATTTGTTTTTGTAAATGTTCAAAATGCTAAAAAAATATAAAGAAGTGAAGATATTAATAAACAAGAACAAACATTGAGTTAATTAGTTTAATTATTATATATGAATGTTTTATATTCTCTACTCTTTACAATGGTTTGGTTTGTACATAAAGTGAGAGATAGAGCAGTAAGACCCATGTGTTAGGTGGGTCCACTTGTTCCTCTCAGTCTTAACCTTTTTTTTATAGCACAATTTGTTGCAGTAAATGTTCAAAATGCTAAACAATATAAAGAAGTGAAGATATTAATAAACGAGGACAAATATTGATTTAATTAGCTTAATTTTTACATACTAAAGTTTTAGATTCTCTACTCTTTACAATGGTTTGGTTGGTGCATAGAAAGAGAGATAGAGTGGTGAGACTTAAGTGACCCCACCTAATTTTCTTAGTCTTTATCTTCTAGCACAATGTGTTGCTATAAATGTTCAAAATACTAAAAAATACAAAGAATTGGAGATATTAATGAGTGAGAACAAACATTAAGTTGATTGGCCTAATTTTTACATATTAATATTTTTGATTCTCTACAATAGTTTGGATTGTGCATATATAGAGAGAGATGCAAATAATTGAAGAGGTTCAGAATGTAAAATACAAAGAATTGAAGATATCAATGAAAGAAGACGATGTACGTTGAATTAGCATAATTTTTGCATATTAATGTTTTGGATTCTCAATAATGGTTTGGACAATACAATGATGAGAGAGATACAGTGGTAGACCAGCATGCCAAGTAAGCCTCACCCATCTCTCTGTCTTTCTTTATCTTTATAGGATAGTGCAGTTGTTTGTAACATCTTACTCCCTTCGGTTATAATTATGGGACAACGTTTTAAATTTCTATTTAGTTTTAAATATAGGCCAAAGACATTACAATTAATTTTTCCCTTCTTGCCCCTTCATAATAGCATCGAGTTGTAATTTCGATACACTTTTTATTATGGTTATTAGTTTTAGTGAAGGGAAAAATTGGAAAGTTATTTTTTTTTTACAAGTTCAAGAATATTAACCACTATTCCTTAAAAAATTGTAAAGTTGGTTAATTAATTTTACCTTATAATTAGGACCAACCCAGGGAGGGGGGATGTGCATTTGCATTTCTAGCAATATCCAATGATGGATAAGATAGCTTGTGTCTTATCTGTCTGTGGATGTAGCTCAAATAGGGAAGCCTTGGGCTTTTTGTCAACTTCCATAGCCAGATGAATATCATGCATGTTGAAAACTTCCAACACAAAATTTCAAGAAAAATTATAGGTATCAAGTTCAACATAATCATTTCAAATATCATAAGTAATTGTAACACCCCTAAAAATAAATACAAAGATTAATTAAAACTAAGCCAACAATTTACACAACTCTAAAACAAATCAAAAGCGACAAGCCTAGACCAGGATCTTGCCTTGAGGAAATCCATCTATAATACTTAACAAAAAGGCCCATTGCAGAAGAAGGGGCTTCCTCTATGATGAGGTGACCCATTGGGGTTCGAGCCCACAAAACAAACCAACGAGCCCCAAAATTAAGGGGTGTCATAATACTAGAAAATATTAACCAACATAATAATGACACTTGGCCAAAAAACGACATGCACAAGCGTTATAATTCTCACTTGAAAAATCTTAGAATGGGGTAAAATATAATAGGGTAAAATACAAAATCTCAATAACCAAACAGAAATTCTAATCTAAATAGGCATACTACAATACAATATGTTTTCATAAAAAGGGATGCATGCTCAAAAGTATTGTATATAGAAAATAGTTTCGAAATAGGGTTTCCTTCTTTTAACAAATGTCTAACCATTTCAAAAAAGAGTTTCCATATTTTACCAATTCATAATTCATCATGTAATTAATATGTATGATTAACATCAAATTCCATCCCTACCCCAACACCTCCTTCTATTACCCCTAGGCTATATTTTAGAGAGTATCCACATGATCAGCCTCCTTATACAATTACAAAAGGTTCTCTGCATTCTATTCTAGATGGGGGAATCATGGAGTTGTATATCTACCTTCCACGGTCTAGCTACTATGGTTTAATAAATACATTTATCTATTTTACCTTTTCACTTTCGGGCTGAGGATAATGGTAATGGATAAGGAATAATAGGCTTTATATGCCTCACCCTTGCCCTTCCTAACTGTATGAATGGGAATTTTGGGATTGAAAATTACCATGTAGTAATAAATGGTCTTAGATATATGTCAATTCACAAGTCATATGCTAAGTCCAACATTATGGATGCAAGTAATAGATATAATATATATATATATATATATATATATTTAAATGGATACAAAATCAATCATTTCTTCCAAAAGGATCAATCTAACAATAACCATATTGAGGATGTGACATTCCCAAATATATTCTAGAAACATTAGTATAACTAAGTTATCCATACCAATTAATCAATGTTCTAAGTCATTGAATGCTAAGAGATTCCCTATTGCTCCTTTAATAACTTAGGATTTGCCCAAACAACCAATATATTTAAAATCAACCACTTAGAATCCCAAATGAGGTTAGCCTATTAGGAAAGATTAAAATCACTTCTTGAAACCAGAAAATATCTTCAATCCACCCAATATCAGATCCAATGTTGCCAATCAACATAACCCCCATATAGCTCTTATTCTCATTGGTCAAAACGAAGAAGGAGAGAAATCCAAATCCTATACCTTACAATGAAATCTGAATGGTTGTACATGTTTATTTCTCGCATGTAGGCAAACGTTGAAGGCCAATTTTGCTTGTTTGTTGTTCAACAATGAATGGATGACCTTCGTTGAACTCGTGTCCGTAGGCAGTCATGACCAAAATCTTTAAATCCTGCTAAAGTACCGTGATTCACCAAAAAAGGCAACTAAACTCTTAAGTAAATATTTAGGCCAAGATTTAAAAGATTGGAATGTTGCAGGAATCATATTTGGTCGTGGCAAAATTCCAATCAAACCACATGATTTATATGTATATGAAAAAATAAAACCAGTGTTACCTTTACTCTTTAATCCTACTGGCACTACTATCGAATAGCACTAAAATTATTAAAAACTTGATTTTGCAATAAAGCACAACTTAGATCATCTCTCTAAAAGTTAATGGATTAACTACTTGAATTAGGATTATGAAAAGTTAAATAATGAGGAGATTTTTTATGTCAAAATTAATTTAAAAAATAAATTAAAATTAAGTAACTAAAGCAACTTCAACTAAAAAAATTACCAAGCATAGGCAGCACAATCAATCACAACCCAATCACTTAAACTTAATATTTCTTATCTACAAAATAAATTAATTTTATTTAA